GATTCTGTTTGTGAAAATGTGCTAGATTCATGAACAATACCAATTATACAAGTTATTACTCAAAACAAAGGAAACACTGAAAATACACTTTTTAAGGTTTTTTGTGAAACTTACCATTTTTGGAGCGCTACTGCACAAAGGATATACAATAACCCAAGATTTTATCACCAGATATGAAAAGACCAATGCCTGAACTAAACATAGCAGAAGAGAAATTATTCTGAGTGCCCTCGCAAGTGCCATTTGGGAGGTATAAAAATGGGGTAAAAAATGCAATTTTGCTAGTTGTAAAACATGCTGTCTAATAGGGCCTAAAAATAATATAAAGGGGATTTTTCAGAAAAGTTTCTATTTTTTCTTGTAAGGGTAAGGATGATACTTTGTCATGATATAGTTACTTTTGTGACAGTACTTCGCAGTTTGGCTTGATGACCTTTGAAAATAACGCAAAAAATGAATTTTTGCAGCCTCAAAATTGCCCAAAAATGTCAAAACACAGAATGGCCCGTAATCGTGGCAACGGGCAAAATAAAAGTCAAAAAGTCTATTTTGGTTACTTGCTCCCTAGGTCCTATCATCCCACAAAGCTTCAAAAAAATTTGAGCGTGGACACTTATATGAAGTATTTGCACGAAATGACTCTTAAATTACAAAACCTAGACAAGCTTGCGCGTATCGCGTAACATAAGAGCGCGTGACCAGATGCACAGCCTTTGTGACTATACCACCATTTAACAATGGTGGTATAAGTCACAAAGATAAAACATCAGACGTCATGTGTGACCTCGCAATTCCGGTTGTGGGACCGCCACTTCCTTGCCACAGACAGACAGACAGACAGACAGACACCATAGAATCTTTAATACAGGATTACGTGACAGGTGCGAAAGGAGATTCTGTCCCTCAGGATATTTTGTTCCAGGACAGTGTCCCTAGGAAACTGTGTCCAATAGTTTTGACAATATGTTTGAAAATTATGTACATAATTATTTATATTAGGCCTCGATGCATGAGCGAACATTATTGTCACACTGAATCTGATCAAGAAAATTGGATACCAGATGCACAGTCAATGCCTCAAATTAATTTTAAAAAAAACCGGATTTTTATTCTTTCGCAGTGCGTTAAAAGCCAACTATTAGTCATGTAAAAAAAGGGTCAACTTACCGAGAACGACGGCTGCGAGTGTGCCGAGAGCCACGGGTAGATTCATCGTGACGGCCCGGTAGATGCTGACTTATTCCCGCTTCTTTGAGTCCGATGTTGAAGCTGGTATGGCGATCGCAACTTTTGACGGCGTACAGCAGATTCGGATGTCGCTGATGCAATAGTCTTGTGTTTCAAAGATATCCTCAGTTTGTCTTTCATCAGTACACAGATGTTTCGAACAATAATGGGCGTGGCGGTCTACGACAACTGGTGACAGTAGACGTACAACACGGGGTGATCAACACGGGTGATCGACACCAATTAAGTGACAGTGGTCAAGCCATTAGGGCTCCGTGCGCCGACGAAAGAGGCCGCTCTTTTACCTAGCAACGACACGACGTCCCATGGGCGGGACGCGAATATTTTATCTACACAATAGTACAGGATACCCATTTTTCAGGCGACTTGAATCAAGGTTATGGGCGCTCTACAATCCTGTAAACTTTTACCTACGCGCGCGCGTGCGTATACTCTCTCTATATGTGTGAAAGTATATAATTATGATTAGTTCGATTCCTTGCTCTGCCCCTTCAGATTTTGCTCTTTTATCAACAATTTAAAGTTTTATCTTAAAAACGTTATTTGTCAGTCGGATACTACTTGTATAGCAGCAATTTTCTTTTTCTTTTCTGATACGGGGCTCTGGAGGATTTTTTTTTAAAGGGAAATAAAGTCCGAAATGCGTACCAAGTTGACAAATAGCAGCCTCCACTCAAGCCTGGAAACCATGCCCCATAGGAAAGCGCACAAAGTACCCCAGATAGTTGTGTAAAAAAAATATCGCGGGCGGGCGAGCGAGACATTGTACTATGAACACGCCGTGGCCGCGCTTCGCGGCAAATGAATTGCAGTCAGGCAAGATGGCGTCACCCCCAACTGTGCCTTCTTTGCCTGTGGGGGGGGGGGGGGGTACTTGTGAACGGAGCGGATAGGCCCGCCGGCTTTTTTTGGTCTCATTGTGTATATCATCTGGCGAAGAAGGAAATACACGCGCTACGTAGAAAATTAGTAAGTTAAGAAACTTACTTACACTTAAAATCGAGTGAGCAAGGCAAGACAAGACAAGAGCTTTGTTTCAGAGCCATTTTGTGTCCATTGTTATAGCGATTCCCTAAATATCTAATGCTGGGTATCGGGACAAAGCTGTGTATGAAAACAGATGTTCAAAAGTTTGTCATTATTTTTGGACATGATGTCAACGAAATAAGTATAGCATTACAAATCCAAATACTGTAGTCCATTGCCATTTTCTGGCATGATTTTAGTCTGAACAGTTGGTTCAATTTTTTGGTCAATTCAGTGTTCTGGTTTTTATATTTTCTTGTAACCGAAGAACGTGAAACTCACGATCACAGAAGTCATCAGGCGAAAGCGGTTGAAGTGGTTTGGCCATGTAGCAAGAAGGCCACCGGACAGCTATGTCGCTAGAGCATACCGGCAGGACTTCACGAACCCAAGACCTCGTGGCAGACCTCCAAAGAAGTGGATCTCACAAATTCGTGAGGACACCGGCCTTCCCATAGCAACAGCCGAACGCCGAGCATCTCACCGTGAGGGCATTCGTGGTTGTCTACAACAGGGGAGCACAAGGGTCCCATGGGACTGAGCATTTAAGTCAAGTAAGTCAAGAAGAACAAACTTCAAATCGGTTTACAAGCCTTACAAACCCTTTCATTAAAAAAAACGGTTTCTAAAAGAAAGAGCAGGTCAGGGGACTGCTGATCAATCTATTATTGGGGTTAAACTCCTTCAATTACGGATTGTTGACAAATGGCAATTAAAGAGAAGAACTTGGTGCGTGTGCCGTAAAGCCGTGGATGTGACGAGCTTGAGTGCTACATGCCTTATAAAAAAGTCAGACACATGTCGCTTGAGGACGGGGGGGGGGGGGCCATGGGCGTCGCCAGGATTTTTGTAGAGGGGGGCAAAGCGCATCCCCCCGAAATCCCTGTACTTAATTCCATCATATTCTCGATTTATCATTTTTCGAGGGTGGGCAGGGACATTTCCCCCGCCTCCCCAACCCTTTCAATTTCAGCAATATGACTTCGCACCTCTTTTCTTTTTCTCCCTCCCCCCCCCCTCCTTTTTGTGTGTGTTTTTTTGCTCTTCGGGGAGGGGGGGGGGGGGGTGCAAGCGCCCCCTTGTCCCCCCTCGCGGCGCCCATGGAGGGGGGGACTCACTGATCAAGATTGAGTGGCCTGTGACCAGCCACTGCCTTGTCGGCAAATCTCACAATATGGCCACACGCTTTTTTTTTATTGAAGACATTTATTATTCAAAAAGATACTGTTCAAAGGGAATATACAACATTTGCAAACATCGAAAAATAAAACTACCAAGTTTTTACGAAATATTTTACTAGGATGTTGGTAAATGACGGTCTCATGCATCTTTTAAAATTATGGCACCTGGTGGGAAGTCACTTTCAAGAAAATGGTATTTTTGTAAACATTTCCAACGGTGGTCGGCCGACCAGCGTTGGAAAAACCTAACTATTTTTCAACTACTGCTCCGAAATTTATCATTTTTTCCAGTCCAAATTTTGTTTGCTAATTGGTTACATGTTCATGAACGGGTGCAGGCCAGCTAGACTGGTTCCCTTGCCTTACAATTTTCCATCATCTATAAATTGATCCATTTTATATTTTGTGGAGTCAGGGAACCAGACTACTTGAACATTTTTGTTTTTCTTGGTTTTTCCAACCTTTTCGAACACCAAACTTCAAAAATGTCAGTGTTACAATATGTGATCTATTATACTAAGCTCTCAAATAGTTCATTTCTGAAAATTACAGCAAAAGCCAATGATGTACATTCCCTTTAATACATTACATCCTTGGCATTAAGCATTGTTAAAATGCTACTCCCAAAAAGCAACATATTTTGACTCACTATATTTTCTTTACAATATCAGTAGTATGTTGTACCTTCTATCTACATATTTTAGTGTGTGTGGTTATAAATGTGTATGTGAAAGGTTGAATCAAAATCGATCGATCAAAATGACTGTACCCACAAAACAATCAGATAACCCAGACTCAATTTGAATGGAACGAGAATGAAACTAAATTCAATTTTTGAAACACTGAAATCACAGCGTAACGTAAATTACATCTATGGTAAATGTATCGATAAATAGCATAAGAACGTTGCGAAATCCTCATTAGGATAAGTACCACTTGCTATAGCGTTTGAATTATCTAAAACACTGTGAAACTGTCTTATGAACAGTGTTAATATATTGTAAACGTTGTTCAATCTTTCTATATCTTACAAGTTTTCTACACACCTATCCGTATGCATTGTAGTTAATGGCTCACAAATTGGTCAACCATATTATTTACAACATAATACATAATAATCATTCCTTTGTATATTAGTAGTATTCAGATGTATAGCTTAAACAAATGTATTGTGTTAAACTATTCCGGTATGATTTCCCACCCTTAAAGGGCAATGAAATATAATGAAATATACCGGAAACGAATTTAGTTGGTCTATAGACTCCGTGCACAAGTGCGCCCTCACAAGCAACAAATAAAGAGTGTTAACAATTATATTATAGCTACTTAGTGCAGAATGTGCTGAACAAAGAAAAGAATGATATTAAGGTCAGGTAACCAGCCAAAGGTAACCGGTGTCTAGTGTCTGTAACTGGCCCCCGTCTGGTGCTTTCTTGCCTCTAACGTGTAGTGTGCTTGGAAATTAATCTGTGTGTTTTCGCGTAAAAACGTTGTAGCCAGTTATGGTTTGAAACCAAACTTAGATAAACTGTGAATAAGTGCTGATTTTTTTTTTTTTACTTCTTATCGACAAGGATATACACGTAATTCATAATTTATGAATATATTGAATTGAAGAATTAAATGACATGTGAAATATTGATCTACATAGAATAACACTTTCACAAGAAACACCCGCATTTTACTATACAAATTCATAAATATACCTAAGATAGTTTACCCATTCCCATTGGTCGATAGCCAGTCACGTGGCCGGTTTTACGGTCTATAAAGACCGGCTGGCTGGTCTTAAAACACTTTTCCAGTGTCACATGAAATTTGGACTCCTACATGAAATCCGGTGCCCGCCAGTACCGTTTTGTTGGTTAAACGTTCACAATCCTCACTTAGGTATGCGCAATATTGTTTCATAGTCCTATATTCACACTACACCGGAACAGCTGCGTTCTGCGCCGATAAGGAGTTTTTTACGGTTACTCGCGAAAGGGCCATACCAAAGCACATAAGCTAGATGGGTGTTCCGAAAAAAAAACAATGAAGTGAAATTGTTGAGTAAAATTGTTGGAATTTTTTTTAAAATTGACTTGTTTTGACTTTTAAACTGAAAGTTTTGATTTTTTTTGTACCGAAAAGGTATTTATGAACGGGAATAAATATGTGCTTGACCGCTATGAAACACTATGTTTTAGACCGGTTGGAGTATGGATGCTGATACAGCATTCACTATAATCTAAAAACCACCAGCACACACCTTGCAATAGGACGAAGGAATTTTAAGGGTAGTTGATATGAAAACGTAGAAGTTGATAAACGTATAGCATAACACAGATTTGCAATAATAACTTTTTCAGTGAAAAAGAGAGACAAAAAGCAAGCATCATTTGTTTGTGCAATTAGTAATCCGCAAAACTTACGCAAAAAGACGTATGTCTCGATTTTATTATTACATGTAATACGTGCAGTACTAAAGACGGCTCAAACTCTGGATTCTAAAATTCGATTCTTTGGTTTTTCCTTCATCAGTAAATCTTTTTCAAAGACACTACCATGTAACACCTAGTTTTTAGTAATATCGGACCAGTTCACTTCTTACCAAACCAACGCTCTTTTCAATCTTACCAAAACCGAAATACAGGGTTAGACCATGAAAATTAAACCGTACAAATCGCGATGCGGCAAGATAGTATTTGGTTACCAAACTCAAGCGCACCAGCCCACCTCATACCGCGATAATCTTGCCCCGTGTAGTTGACGGGACAGGAATACTCCCCATTTAGGTTAGTCGGCACGAGATCCACATTTCCGACTCCTCCAGTACAAGTCTTGAACCACCAGCCTCCCTTCAGCTGAGCGGCACAATTGGCGTTGCCATCGGCGTCATTGTCGCGATCGTAGGTTGAGAACGGCTGGCCTAGGGAAACGTCAGTGAGAGACTTACCTAGCAAACGGATGATAAAGGATACCAAGAGTTGAGATTGATCGAAAAGCAATGTGCTATTCCACTGAGCATGTGAGACCAAAAAACGCTTCCTCGGATTACTTCCGAATCCATGACTCCACCAACCATCAGAACGTCGACTGATACCAAACCGATATAACAAAACGTGCCCTTTTCAGGTAAACTCAATCTTAAAGAAGTGTCATCTTTTGAAATTTTAGGCGAAGAAAAGGTGTAGAGCAATCTTAAAGGGACATCTCTGACAACGAGTATCAAAAAGTTAATGTTGCTCCTAACAGTGTCCATTCAAAATGAATATTACATTTCTTTAGGGCTTTTATAAATTGTATATAAACAGTAGCATAAATATATTTAGAATGTAGACTAGTTGATACCTGCTACGTAATCAAGTTTCCATGGTTGCGGTGGATCCACATGCAGTGTGTAGTTGTCACCTGTGATCTTGAACTGCGTCAAGACTATTTTCTTGTAGTATCCTGCTTCTTCCACTATAATCTGTAGTTCCCAAGTGCCTTCCGAGGTCAGCTGGCGGACTACCTCGTTGCCCAGCCAGAACTCCCCCGTCAGATCACCGAAGCCGTCTCGGTACTCGGCCCAGCTACGGATGAAATTGACCGACCCGCGTTTACGATTCTGAATCACCTGGAATGAGTCAGCAAAGAACGAAGTTACCAAATGAAAAATCAATAGGTTTGGTAGTGGGGGGAGGGGGTGGTTCGTACCATACTTTCCTGGGGGCGCTGTTTATCCAACGATTATTAACACTATATCACACAATAGTGTACATATACCCCCTAGCCAAGCTGGCTCTGTCCGTATTTTGTGCAAAGGCAGAAATGTTTAACAATAAAACATTTTTTGGGTGTCAGAGCAGGGGGAGGGGTTGGCATTTTTTTTCTCATAAATTTCCATGGAAAAAAATTGAGGGAGCTGGGGTCCTCCCCCCCCCCCTTGATCCGTGCCTGCTTCCTTGACAATTTAACACATTGATATAAGACGATCGGTTTAATTCCGCGAAGTGCTGATTACACACAACAGGTGTTTCAAGTGCAGGTCAGTGTTATTGAAGGAGGGGGCTGGGCCAGAGGAGGGATTTGAATTAATCCTCCCCATTCGGTGACGAGTTCCGCATTTTCCTGCTTTTTGTTTAGTTAGATGTTTACTTTGTTTCCCATAATGTTCAAAAATATCACTACGACGCCATCTGTGCACACCAAAGATCCATCGCCAATGGGATAAGCGTATACACAATGTACATGTACGACTCGCATACATGCATTAGCACGATATTTGTGTAAAGTTGACATGAACAGTTCCATTTTGGGGGTTGACGAACCGCCGACTCTGAGGGAACGGGCCTGACTGCTGATTTCATGTCGGAACTGCATGTATTCGGTTCGGTAGTGACTTCGTCATACACGCGCACGCATCACTGATTACTAGCGCTCATTGGCTATAAAACACTCAAGTTGCGTTAACGTTCGGTTCCATTCGTGCTATACAAGGTGTCCCAATAAACATTGTGCATGAAGAAATCGCTGATTTTCTCAAAAGTTGGTAAGGACTAGCTTATCAAATTGTATAGCATATTTAGGCCTATGGTAATATGATTGGTGAAAAACATCAGGAAAATCCAACGATGCCAACCAGAGATATCTTTGATTTGGTAAGGCTATGTATTTTTCGACCTGCACAATGCACGTGTAATTTCCACACTATGCTACACCGTGTGAAGTACGCATGGTTAAATTGAGATGACGTCACACTAACGAACCGGATAGGGATGAGATAAAGCGAAGAAACTTACTATCCATTTCCCCCTGCAGTAAACGGTCAAGCCGTTTGGATATTGCGGTGGGCAGATAGTGTAGACACCCCGCTTAAACATGCCGCTGTCCACGATGTCACTGCAGTCAGCATATCGGGGAGCTGAGGGTGTTGACGAAATCTCGACCTCAGCCGTGGCTTCGGCTCCATCGCTGACTTCTAAATTATTGAGAAGCGATTCAGAAATAACTCTAAATTTAGTTTCGTATTAGCTTCTAAAACTCCTAAGAACTCTAACAATAATTAGACAATAACATGTTTAATTGATTCTATCGTCCTTGTGTATGGGAAAAATTGCGCAGCACTACTTTGTTCCTTCGTTCCCATTTGGGGAAAGGGGTGGTGGGTGCTCAGGCTTTTAAATTTTTATAAGGGGGAGTTAGATAAAGATTTATACTGTGGACGTCACTAAATTATTCATATGATATTATATAAATTATAACAAAATATGATAATTTTAAAGAAGCTTCGCTGAATCATGGTATTTTCTTGAGAAAGGTTGTTCACAGAAAGAGGCAAGGCATGAGAGTCCCATAACGTAGGTTCAATTCATAATGAAGACAATGAATCTAATAATTAAGGTAATAAATTGCATTAAAGGAGCTCAATCAACTATTTGGGAGAATACAAAATTCTCAACATTTCTGAATGATAATTATTGAAATATAATAAAGTATAGATATTTTAATTAATACTAATAAAGTAGATATATATATAATATTAACAAAGTAACTATTTTGAAAAGTGACTTCACTGATATTCACAACAAGATGCTTTTGAAGCTGTGTTCACTAAGTTCTCCTTACCAGTCGAGTGTCGTGTCCCTGTGCATCGTTGGTGTAGTTCTCGAGACGCTGCTTGCATCCAATGTTCACCAGGAAGCGGGTCCGGTACCAGGCCGAAGTAACTGCAAGTCCTCAACTGACTCTCAGCAACAACTAACTGTACTGCAGATTAAAAGTGAACCACAATCACCATTGATGAGAGTGTGTAGTGTGAAGCCGTGGCGAAATATATTTTGCTCTGATAGTTTGATTGATAGATTGTTCGTGTGATGGGGCGGTCATAAACGTTAAACGTTTCAAACCGGTTTTGGTGTCTGGCAGCCCATTGATGTAGCAAGAATACTGTTCGGTGGGGGAAGACATCGACATCTCATGGAGTGATGTGACGCTAAGAGACGCTCTTTTTTCTCTCTCTATTTAATAATATGATTTTTTTGTCAAAGTTCAAAAATAAAATTGACTGGAGCGAGGTTTGAGACTGAGACCTCCCGATTGTCGTTCCAGGCCTGGATCCAGAGGGGTGGTCTTGGTGGTCGAACCGCCCCCCCCCCCCAGCCCCTGACTCCTTTTTTTGTATAGAAATATATTACAAATAATGTGAACACCCCCCCCCCCCCCGCTCTGACACCCAAACAAATTGATGACAATCACTCCGGTAATAGTAATGTCCGCCTGTGCACAACATTCGGCCTGAAAAAGCTGGGGGTACGGAGGTATTTGTACACGATTCTGTAATATAGTGTTCATGACTGTCGGATTTAAACATCGCTCCCACTGGTATGGTACGAGCCACCCCCCCCACCCCCCACCCCGACCTATTGATATTACTGAGGCCAAGACCGGAGAGAAAAATGTCTACATTATTTTCAGCATTGATTTGCTGATGAAACCCCCCCCCCCCCCACACACACACAAATTTCTGGATCCGCCCCATGCGTGGACGGTAATTTTGTGTTCCCCCCTTCCTTGGTAAATCTGCCCCCCCCCCCCCCCGGACAGATTTACCTTGGGTAAATCTGTCCCCCTCCATGTAAATCTGTCCCCCTGCCCAAAATGTGTCCCCTTGGTAGATTAGGCTATACTTGAATCAATGGTTGGCCAACCGTATATACATGATGTAGTCTACCAATGATCGGTATGTAGTTATAAACATCTGGTCCAGTTGTTTTGCAATTAAAAGCTTGCCAGACGTTTGTCCCTATTTTTGAAATTATGCGACCGACAAACAAGGATGATCTGATCACAAATCATCCAGCTTGTCCACTATAATACAGTCGCTGACAACGTCGCGGACACTTTCGTCGGGGGCCGCCATCTTGAAATCACGTGAACAGAGTATGTGCTTTCAACATTGGCTATTTAATTTTTGTGGCTCAGACGTACGTAGCTCAAGATGCCCGCCCACGGCTGGCGAGATTTTCGCCTCACAAGGCGAAAACAAAATCAAACAGAACAGAGCAGGCTGCAGGTTGACCGTAAGGTCAGAGCCAAATTCTGCTAAATGCACATCCAAAATCTGTCAGATTTATTATCAAAAATCTGCCAAATTTCCCAGAATTACTCGAAACACACTATAAACACTTAAAATCACATGCAAATTGGTTAATTAAGATTCAAATTACATAATAAACAATCAAGTCACATAAAGATGTTGTGAAATTATTGGTAAATTTTGGGCAAATGCAGATCCGGTCACGACGAAGTCCGTTTCCCAGTGAACCTCAGCACCTAGATCAGCCAACCTGTCCCCATTACGCAAGGGTTTGTTTGAAAGGATTGAAACTTTTTTAAACAAAATTGTACACTTTTTTTGTTCAAATTTGCTGTTTTTCTGTCAAATAACCATTTTTGCAGAATTCTGCCAGAAATCTGCCACAAAAATCCATTCTGTCAAATTTTCTGTGAAACTCGATTTTTTATTAAAATTCTGTCAAAGTTAGGCAAAAATCGGCTAAAACGGTCACCCTGGCAGGCTGCCACGAATGACTTTTTGCTCAGCTTTAATAGATCTCGTGTAAAGTGCGGGCTTAACATGGGGCTTGATAGCTCAGTTCCGGAACGGCATATCCCAAGGTCGTCCGTTCAAACCCCGCCCAGTAAAATTCTTTGTTCAACTCAGGAATGGAATAAAAAAGAATTGTCCTCAAATCAGAGAGAATTTTTGTTTCACCTGCAGTGGCAAATTGGTTTTTAAACCAGACGTTCAATACTGCCCCACCGCATTCCCTTATGGGCATTAATAATTATTCCACAACACTACAAGTAGGCCGATTTTGTTAATTGGCCCATTTCAAAGTGAAAAGCTCTGGTTTTGCTAGAATAAAAATAGGATTTATTGTTATTATTATTATTATTACTTATTATTATTATTATTATTTATTCGACCTCAACAGCACATAAACAAGAACAGACAAAATATATATACATGTACAGAACAGATCGAAAAATCATAGAAATACAAAAATAACAAGACACATACATTATATATTTTGTTCGGGATAAAACACGATACCAAAAAGAAGAAAACTTCATTGATAATGAGAAGTTACCCAGCTGCTTTGGAGCGATATTTTCCCCTTTCTCCTCATGGCAATGTACTTGAATCCGTCGACTGTGTGTAATATGACACCACAATAATTAGCAATGCTCACTTTTTTGGTATTGCGTATAGATGAATATAGGTGAATGGCATTGCCCGTGTGAGTTATTACCATTTTTTTAACCAAGACGGAGGCAGAAATGAATGGTTGAACAAGTTCCAATATACAGATGCTAATTAGCAAGAAAACACCGATGAACAATCAAACGGAAAATACTTGAAACAAAAAAGAAGCGTATCTCACACTATCGAGTGATGAGATTCATTGGCTCCTCCGCGTATGCAATTACTGAACTATTGTACTTGCCTATCCGCCAACGCATGATTGCTAATATCTTAGTGTTATGCGTTTTAATAGTGGTGTTATTATTCACTAAGATAACGGGGAAGCGCCCTATCATCCAGTGAGGTTTCCCACATTTCGAATTTGGAACCTCCGAACGGCCGGTCCCCCCCCCCTCCCCAATAATTTTGGTTTTGGCTCTGCCGGTGAATACACGACGATCCTTAGCACCAAAGTTGTAGTACAAGCGTGACAGGTGCGGAGGGATGTTTTATCCCCCGGACAGTTTCTCCTAGGAAACTGTTTCCCTTCTAGGATATTCTGTCCCCTACTTCAGCGGAGAATTTGTCCCTTCGGGAGTTGTTATTGTTTCCATGCAGTGGGCCTGTAACGCATGATTTGCTCATTTCTGTTATACGTCAACTTAGTTGACAATAATATATATAGGTTTTCCTGGCCACTTAAAACAATATTTTACCTTTCAAATTGACCAACTCTATCATTCGATTTCGTCCAGGAAAAAAATTCCTACGCTTTTAACAAAATCAATTTAGTCATTTTTGGTCACCGGGTCGAGACTTTTCGTCATTTCAGATCAAATTCGTCCAAGCTGTTGCCGAATGGCAGCATGCGGATATCGAATTCGTCTTATATGAATCAATTAGACAAATTCTATTTGGCGTAGACGAGACGAAATCGAATACTCCAGGACGAAAACGTGTGCTCATTGTTTGAATTGGCTGGATCTGAATTTGAAATTGTCTGACAAAAAAGTGCACTGAATAGATGTTGATAGACGAATTTGAATACTAGAAACGGTGAATTCGAACGATAAACGCTTTAAACTAGCCAGGAAAACCATTATATTAGGCCAAAGTGGGCGAGTTCAAGATAATGTCGGGCCCCTAAACTATTTGTCACACTGAATCCGATCAAAAAATATGGATACCAGATGCACTGTAAATGCCTCAAATTCTTTTGCAGTGTGTGTTAAAAAAAAAATTACTATACTTTTAGTCATGTACGACAAAATTGTCAACTTACCAAGAACGACGGTCGCAAGTGTGCGGAGAGCCACGGGTAGATTCATCGTGACGGCCCGGTAGCTGCTGGCTGATTCTCGCTTCTTTGAGTCCAATGTTGAAGCTGGTATGTCGATCGCAACTTTTGACGGCGTATAGCAGATTCGGATGTCGCTGATGCAACAGTCCTCCTCAGTTTGTCTTTCATCAGTAATTTAGGCTACACTAGTCAAATAGTAGGCGTTGGCCACATCAGATATTCATCATGTGACATATCACGTGAATGAAATACATGGCTGCATTGTATAATTTCACTTGAATTGTTCAAAGGATAATAAAACCCACCTAAAGAATGCAACAGAAATGCTATACATGTCTCTGGTTGAAATTTAACCATTGTTGACTGCTGTGATGTGGGATATGACTTTTTAACACCCGAGGGGCCATATCATCCGAGGCAAAGCCGAGGGTGCTATGGTGCTATGCGCCCCGAGGCTATGCGCCCCTTTGCGCCCACGGATCCTAGACACCAGGATTAACGACTGTTCTGAGCTCTAGTACAAAATGCACTGAGCGGAGTTGTCTAGACGTGTGATAACGGGCATTAACACCCGTTGGCTAGTAATCGCGAATTTTCCAGGTGTACCATTGTGTTGGGTTTTCGCATGGCATCTAAAACGGAAATATTCATAAAACTGTCAGCAAAACTACTCCTTATTTTAAGATATAATTGTTCCAAAATTATTAAAAAATAAATACTTCAGGATATAACAGATGGCATTGTGCTTTTGATTTACCATTTTGCATTCAATCTAATCTCCGTCAGTATGCAGATGACACTGTCTTGTACAGAGTCATTAAAAATCAAGAGGATGAAGTGGCACTCCAGGATGACCTGCAGCACATAAACACTTGGTGTAATCTAAACTGTATGACTTTAAACCCAAATAAGTGATGACTGTGACCAGGTCTAGAAACCACTGTATAAAATTGCTGAAAACACTTTGGAAAATGTGGATAGTTACAAATACTTGGGTGTTATTATCTCCAGGGACTTAAGCTGGAAAACACATGTTAATAAAGTCACTTCCAAAGCCACTAGACTCAACGGATTTATTGGTAGAGTAGTTAAAACTAGAAACCCTAACATTCTGACTTCACTTTATCGCTCAATTAGCAGACCCATACTTGAATACGCAGCTCCAGTCTGGTGCCCTGTTCTTTCGACTCAGCAAAAAACGCTAGAGAAGGTACAGAGGCGATTCACCCGTTTTTGTTTGGGTCTGCCGAGAAGGGTTTTAATTGATTCTGTAAATGAAATTGAATATTCAGACAGGTGTGTCAAGCTGGGTCTGCCTCTTTTAATCAACAGGGTTCATTTCCTTTCAATTACGTTTGTTATTAAATGTTTATATAATAAATTTGACGTTGACACTGACACTCTAATTCCCATTAATTGTAGACATATCGAATCTGTTAAATTTGTCCATCATCGAGCTCGTTCCAATGCTGCCCATCATTCTCTTTTTCACAGATTCCCTAGATTATGGGATGAACTACCGGCCTGCATTAAAGATACAATTATCCATAGTTTATCCTCCTTTACAAATTCTCTCAGAAATCATTTATTAGTCCCTGGCCAGGAGGTCCCCTTGACCAAAACAGTTTAAATTTCTAGTTGCCTTGCCCATTCAAATACCTTGCTGCCTGTTTTTTCATCTCAATTTTATAGTGCCTTTTGCATTATAATTCACTCGAATCTCTCTTTTACCGAATCTGTATTTTTTAATGCCCATTTGTGCTTTTAAAGTTTTAACTGCTTGTATAGTTCTATATTCTTATACTGTAAGCCATGTTTTAATAATGTCCATTTGTAATGTCCTTTTGTATTGTCTCTTCTTAAATTGTGGCATCAGGAGATTAACTCGATAGTAATTTAGTTTACTTTTTTAAAATCCATCAGGGGTGCTACTTTTTTTCTCTTTTTCTTGTTCTCTCTCCTAACTGTATGTGCATGTTTTTGTTTTCTTTACTGTTCTTATTGTCTGTACTTGAATTTTTACCTGTAAAATTAATAAATGAAATGAAATGAAATGAAATTGTGCAGTTTTTGTCGTCATAGATGAAGTATTTACCCGGGGAATACACGTGAAATTTCGAGGAGAACACTGTTTACCCAAATTTCGTTTTTAATTAGGCTTTTATTAAAAAGTTTTAGAGAGATGTGATGCCGAACCGATGAATTAAAAGTGACATTTCATTGCTCATCTTAAAGCTACAGATATTGTGCTCGGCATTACCATGGTTATGTAGTTATCACCTATCAGAATTCAATAATAAAGACCAAAAACGTTGACTCATGAATATTCAAAAATATACTTCGCTGGCTTGACAGACTTCGACGCCAGATCGGGCGCAGAGCCTTGCAAATCTGAAAGCCACCGCGCGCAGTGGTCTTTGTTGGAAAGTATTCATGGTATTTGCCACCAGTACAGGCCGTTATCACGCGTCTAACCAGGAGTTGGGCGAGTCGTTATTCCTTGTGTGTAGGATCCGTGATGCGCCCCGCTTTCAATTTGAGATACCGACTTAAAACAATTTCGACTTGAGTCAAGTCTACCGTGAGTTCTCATTGGGCAGACCTAGCGCCTTGGCAGGTTCCACACGCGCGCGCAATGCGCACAATGAAGGCAATCCGATATCACGCTCAGTGTGGAACACGTAATTTTATTTGTCCAGACACGTGACCATCCTAGACCAATGAAATTACAGTATCCAAGCACACGAAAATAGCAACACCTTTTTTATTAATTTTCATATCAAGGTTGAGTAGCCTACTCTTATCACATCACACTATTTATAACGGCGCTAAAGCACGCGTTTATTACTCTCCGCCCATCGACAGGTGGCAGCAGACATGTTTACTGATAATACGTGAAACGAAAATAACGCAGTTCTGCAATAGTGGAGCTGCTAAGCGAAAGATCGTGCATTTTTGGTAATTAAAAAGCATGAATAGGGCTAAAATCAAGATGTGATCCAATCTTGGATCTTGCCCATAAAACAAAAAACTCATTAAAAACTGTATTTAGCATCCATTTTCCTTCTTTTTTTGTATGCTCTGAAATAAACGTATAAGATAAGATATTCTAACATTTTAACATCTGTTTCTTCCCCCATTTTGTGGGCATGGCGTTAATTTGTAAAAGAGGCTGTATATGATAGCAGTTGAATTGATTCAAATGTGGAAAAAAATCATTCAGATTGATAGTGATAAATTAAGAAATCGCAAAGACTGTGTCAAGGCATTTGCTTGAAAATAATTGAAATCAATAGAAATTGTGACTACATACTTGAAGCTTCAAAATTCCATTTTTTTTCCTCAATAGTTGGGCAGCCTTTGAGCTCACAACATAAGCAACTACCACGAACCTTGCGACACAGATGGTTCAAACAATAATGGGCGTGACGGTGCACGACAACTGGTGACAGTAGACGTACAACACGGGGTGATCAACACGGGGTGATCGACACAAAACGACCGTTTGGTTCACGACACCAACTAAGTGACAGTGGTCAAGCCATTGTTGTAGCCATTGCTATAGGGCTGCCGGCTTTCTTGGTCTCATTGTGTATAATCGTCGCATATCTGACGAAGTGACGAATCGGTCATTTTGGAGTTTTTTTTATTAATTGAGTTTTAGGGTTAAAAATATTCGAATTTTCAGATTTTTAGGTTTTTAATTCATGAAAACACTTCATTTTTGTTGTTCCGAAACCCACTAAGTGACGAATCGGCACATATTGGAAAAACTTTGTCTTGCGAACTGACGAATAAATTATTCGACGCTTGGTCATATCAGAACAGCGCGCATCCAGTATCTGACGAAGTGACGAATAACCAGTTATTCATTGGTTACGCACACACCCGTCTTAAAATTGAATGGCGTATGAGGGAACCAGGGATCTTCTGTTTCGCGCGCTTTCCGTCAGCTTTCAAAACGAACTAACGGCGCTGCAACATTATAATGAGGTCTAAAAGAGAAAACCGTTACTACTTCACCTTTATGTAATTTTGTGTATGTAGAGTTGTAATCCTAAAATGAACGGAGTACAAAATGAACTAGGCTAGGACTGCGCGACGGACAGGCTTATACAGACTGGGATTCATTTAAAACGTGCGATATACTTTCCTTCAAAACCGGCGTTTTATAGGAATTCCACAAAAGGTCTACTGCATTTCGAGAAAATCTCGAAAACGGTCCCCTTTAAGTGGCTAATGAGAGCTGAAAACCTCATTTTAATCAGCCCATACTGAAATGAAGTGCCTCCTAGGGGATGACAATTAGGATATTTTTTTTTAAAACGTGCAGTCCACTTTCTTTCATAAACGGCGTTTTATAGGAAAGCATTATTACTGCATTTCGACGGAGTCCATTTAAGCGGTTACTTAAAGCAGAATAGATTATTGGAATAAACCAATACTGAAATGAAGTGCACCCTAGAAGGTGAAAATAGGATTATTAAATAAAAATAGTATTTATTCAAAACATATGCGGTACACTTTCTTTCAAAACTGCGTTCAATGGGAGACCCGAAATACTGCATTTTGAGATATTCCCGAAAATGGAACCCCTTTAAGTGGATAATTTGAGCATAAGACCTCATGGGAATAAGCCCATAACGAAAATGAAGAGTGCCCAGGAAGGTGATACTCAGGATGATGACATAAAAATATGTTTTATTTGTAGATTTTCTTTCAAAGACGGCATTTTTAAGGAAACCCAAAACACTGCATTTCGAGATATTCTCGAAAACGGAGCCTCTTTAAGTGGCTAATTAGAGCAGAAAAACCTCATTGGAATGAGCCTATACTGAAATAACGTGTGCCCTAGCTGGTGACTGATGATAAGGATAATAAAATAAAAATATAAATTATTTCATTGTGTGCGGTACACTTTCTTTCAAAGACGACGTTTTATAGGATACCCAAAATACTGCATTTCGAGATACAGGTTTTGTATTCTCGAAACGGAGCCCTTTAAGCGGCTAATGAAAGCAGAATGCCTAAGGATAACAAGCCGTTACTGAGATTATTGTACCCTGGAAGACAATAATTATTGTTTTTAAAACAATTGCTGTCTTACATGAATGAATGAATGAATGAATGAATGAATAAATAGTGTTCGTTGTTAGTTCGCATTCACAGCTTTGTGTTCCTACTATTTTGTTGCGTCCATTCGAGATATTTTCCTTTTTAATAACTTTTTTATTAGGCTACTGTATATTATTAAAACATTATAGCAAGTACTTGGATTTGAACGTGGGGTTTAAGTGTTACCATATTTTTTCCTTAAAAGAAAATAGAAAATGTTTGTAAAACAAACACATTTCTTTGAAAATGCGCGTAGTGTTGTAAAGAAGTGACGAATATGCAATGGATTTATAATGCAAAAACGCGCGCACAGTCAAAATGTTATCTTACAAAGTGACGAATAAGACATTTTTACGTGGCGAATAAGCACAATGACGTTTAAATCTATCTCGCGAAGTGACGAATAAGTTTCACAGCAAAAATTAGACAAACCTTTAGTCTTACGAGCAAAAAACAAATTAATAGATATATTTTAACAATCACATAACTACCTTGAATAAATTATGAGTGTACAAAAGGGGAAAGTAGCATCGAAAAGGGACACGTAAAATGTGTTCAACTTTAAACGCGTTTTTCTCAGAATTGCGTTAACGCGTAATCGCGCGTATTCGTCGGTTCGTCAGATATGCGACGATATCATCTGGCGAAGAAGGAAAAAAAAGCGCTACGTAGAAAATTAGTCAGTTAGAAACTGAACACTTAAAATCGAGTGAGCAAGGCAAGACAAGACCAGAGCTTTGTTTCAGAGCCACTTTGTGTCCATTGTTATAGCGATTCCCTAAATATCTAATGCTGGGTATCGGGACAAAGCTGTGTATGAAAACAGATGTTCAAAAGTTTGTCATTATTTTTGGACATGACGACAACGAAATAAGTATAGCATTACAAATCCAAATACTGTAGTCCATTGCCATTTTCTGGCATGATTTTAGTCTGAACAGTTGGTTCAATTTTTTGGTCAATTCAGTGTTCTGGTTTTTATATTTTCTTGTAACCGAAGAACGTGAAACTCACGATCACAGAAGTCATCAGGCGAAAGCGGTTGAAGTGGTTTGGCCATGTAGCAAGAAGGCCACCGGACAGCTATGTCGCTAGAGCATACCGGCAGGACTTCACGAACCCAAGACCTCGTGGCAGACCTCCAAAGAAGTGGATCTCACAAATTCGTGAGGACACCGGCCTTCCTATAGCAACAGCCGAACGCCGAGCATCTCACCGTGAGGGCATTTGTGGTTGTCTACAACAGGGGAGCGCAAGGGTCCATTTAAGTCAAGTAAGTCAAGAAGAACAAACTGCAAATCGGTTTACAAGCCTTACAAACCCTTTTATTAAAAAAATACGGTTTCTAAAAGAAAGAGCAGGTCAGGGGACTGCTGATCAATCTATTATTGGGGTTAAACTCCTTCAATTACGGATTGTTGACAAATGGCAATTAAAGAGATGAACTTGGTGCGTGTGCCGTAAAGCCGTGGATGTGACGAGCTTGAGTGCTACATGCCTTATAAAAAAAGTCAGACACATGTCGCTAGAGGACAGGGGGGGGGGCATGGGCGTCGCCAGGATTTTTGTAGAAGGGGGCAAAGCACATCCCCCCGAAATCTCTGTACTTAATTCCATCATATTCTCGACTTATCATTTTTCGAGGGTGGGCAGGGACATTTCCCCCGCCTCCCCAACCCTTTCAATTTCAGCAATATGACTTCGCACCTCTTTTTTCTTTTTCTCCCTTCCCCCCCTCCTTTTTGTGTGTGTTTTTTTGCTCTTCGGGGAGGGGGGGGCAAGCGCCCCCTTGTCCCCCCTCGCGGCGCCCATGGAGGGGGGGACCCACTGATCAAGATTGAGTGGCCTGTGACCAGCCACTGCCTTGTCGGCAAATCTCACAATATGGCCACACGCTTTTTTTTTATCGAAGACATTTATTATTCAAAAAGATACTGTTCAAAGGGAATATTCAACATTTGCAAACATCGAAAAATAAAACTACCAAGTTTTTACGAAATATTTTACTAGGATGTTGGTAAATGACGGTCTCATGCATCTTTTAAAATTATGGCACCTGGTGTGAAGTCATTTTCAAGAAAATGGTATTTTTGTAAACATTTCCAACGGTGGTCGGCCGACCAGCGTTGGAAAAACCTAACTATTTTTCAACTACTGCTCCAAATTTACCATTTTTTCCAGTCCAAATTTTGTTTGCTAATTGGTTACATGTTCATGAACGGGTGCAGGCCAGCTAGACTGGTTCCCTTGCCTTACAATTTTCCATCATCTATAAATTGATCCATTTTATATTTTGTGGAGTCAGGGAACCAGACTACTTGAACATTTTTGTTTTTCTTGGTTTTTCCAACCTTTTCGAACACCAAACTTCAAAAATGTCAGTGTTACAATATGTGATCTATTATACTAACCTCTCAAATAGTTCATTTCTGAAAATTACAGCAAAAGCCAATGATGTACATTCCCTTTAATACATTACATCCTTGGCATTAAGCATTGTTAAAATGCTACTCCCAAAAAGCAACATATTTTGACTCACTATATTTTCTTTACAATATCAGTAGTATGTTGTACCTTCTATCTACATATTTAAGTGTGTGTGGTTATAAATGTGTATGTGAAAGGTTGAATCAAAATCGATCGATCAAAATGACTGTACCCACAAAACAATCAGATAACCCAGACTCAATTTGAATGGAACGAGAATGAAACTAAATTCAATTTTTGAAACACTGAAATCACAGCGTAACGTAAATTACATCTATGGTAAATGTATCGATAAATAGCATAAGAACGTTGCAAAATCCTCATTAGGATAAGTACCACTTGCTATAGCGTTTGAATTATCTAAAACACTGTGAAACTGACTTATTAACAGTGTTAATATTTTGTAAACGTTGTTCAATCTTTCTATATCTTACAAGTTTTCTACACACCTATCCGTATGCATTGTAGTTAAAGGCTCACAAATTGGTCAACCATATTATTTACAACATAATACATAATAATCATTCCTTTGTATATTAGTAGTATTCAGATGTATAGCTTAAACAGATGTATTGTGTTAAACTATTCCGGCATGATTTCCCACCCTTAAAGGGCAATGAAATATAATGAAATATACCGGAAACGAATTTAGTTGGTCTATACACTCCGTGCACAAGTGCGCCCTCACAAGCAACAAATAAAGAGTGTTAACAATTGTAGTATAGCTACCTAGTGCAGAATGCGCTGAGCAAAGAAAAGAATGATATTAAGGTCCGGTAACCAGCCAAAGGTAACCGGTGTCTATTGCCTGTAACTGGCCCCCGTTTGGTGCTTTCTTGCCTCTAACGTGTAGTGTGCTTGGAAATGAATCTGTGTGTTTTCGCGTAAAAACGTTGTAGCCAGTTATGGTTTGAAACCAAACTTAGATAAACTGTGAATAAGTGCTGATTTTTTTTTGTTTACTTCTTATCTTAAATTCATAATTTATAAATATATTGAAATAAATAATTAGATGACATATGTGAAATATTGATCTACATAGAATAACACTTTCACAATAAACACCCGCATTTTACTATACAATATTCATAAATACCTAAGACAGTTTTCCCATTCCTATTGGTCGAGAGCCAATCACGTGGCCGGTTTTACGGTCTATAAAGACCGGCTGGCAGGTCTTAAAACACTTTTCCAGCGACATATGAAAATTGGACTCCTACATGAAATCCGGTGCCTGCCAGTACCGTTTTGTTGATTAAACATTCACAATCCTCACTTAGGTATGCGCAATATTGTTTCATAGTCCTAAATTCACACTACACCGGAACAGCTGCGTTCTGTGCCGATAAGGAGGTTTTTAAGGTTACTCGCGAGAAGGCCATACCAAAGCACATAAGCTAGATGGGTGTTCCGAAAAAAACCCAATGAAGTTAAATTGTTGAGTAAAAATGTTGGAAAATTTAAAAAAAAATTGACTTGTTTTGTACCGAAAAGGTATTTATGAACGGGAATAAATATGTGCTTGCCCGAAATGAAACACTCTGTTTAAGGCCGGTTGGAGTATGGATGCTGATACAGCATTCACTATAATCTAAAAACCACCAGAAAACACCTTGCAATCGCACGTCGCTAGATTTCTATCACAAATTTCCTAAAGGAATGTTAAGGGTAGTTGATAAACGTAGAAGAACGGTTGCTTAATTTTTTTATCCTTTAAACTGTCATGGTTTCCATGATTTTCAGTGAAGCAGATAGTATTTGGTCACCAAACTCAAGCGCACCAGCCCACCTCATACCGCGGTAATCTTGCCCCGTGTAGTTGACGGGATAGGAATACTCCCCATTCAGGTTAGTCGGCACGAGATCCACATTCCCGACTCCTCCAGTACAAGTCTTGAACCACCAGCCTCCCTTCAGCTGAGCGGCACAATTGGCGTTGCCATCGGCGTCATTGTCGCGATCGTAGGTTGAGAACGGCTGGCCTAAGGAAACGTCAGTGAGAGACTTACCTAGCAAACGGATGAAAAGGATACCAAATGCTGAGATTGTTGGAAAAGCAATGTGCTATTCCACTGAACATGTGTAAGACAAAAAAGCTTCCTCTGAGTACATTCGAATGACTTCTAGCTTAAATTAACTGTACAAACGTTCAACCACCAACCATCAGTGTGTCGACTAGCCGATACCAAACCGATGTAACAAAACGTGCCTTTATCAGGTAAACTCCACCTTAAAAGAAGTATCATCTTTTGAAATTTTAGGCGACGAAGAGGTGTAAAGGAATTTTAAAGGGACATCTCTGACATATTTTACAGCCATATTTCACAGGTATCCATCAAAGACCACCAAAAAAACTACATCGTGACTTTTACTCGTTGAAAATCAAGTAGATTCCTAGCCAAAATAGAATAAGCTTTGTCAACACAGTCTGCGTGAAAAAGTATCACGCTTTATTTACACATAAATTGACAGGAAAATAAAGATTTGGGGTGAAACAATAACACGCATTCAATGCTTGGTGATGCAATTTTTGGAAAAGGTAATGTTGACCTGCTACGTGAGGTTTCGTGCACCGTGTACTTTTTATGCATTGTATCAATTGAATTTCGTGATTTCAATTCTTTGTTTTCCCTTCAATGACACAATGTAAACAAAGCACGACTTTGGTGTTTGCAATCATGGCGACAAAACTGGCATAATGGACAAAACTACTTTGAAATTGTTTCATAAAGGAGGCTATTACGACAACGAGTATCAAAGGGTAAAAGTTCGCATATTACTGTGTTCTTAACAGTGTCAATTCAAAACGAATATTACATTTCTTGAGGGCTTTTATGAATTGTATATGCACAGTAGCATATTTGTTTAGAAAGAAGACTAGTTGATACCTTTTGAGTAATGATGATCCCCTGGTTGCAATGGATCCACATGAAGTGTGTAGTTGTCACCTGTGATCTTGAACTGCGTCCAGGTTATTCTCTTTAAGCCTTTTGCTTCTTCCACTATAATCTGTAGTCTCCAAGTGCCTTCCGAGGTCAGCTGGCGGACTACCTCGTTGCCCAGCCAGAACTCCCACGTCAGATCACCGAAGCCGTCTCGGTACTCGGCCCAGCTACGGGTGAAATTGACCCACCCGCTTTTACGATTCTGAATCACCTAGAATGAGTCAGCAAAGAACCGAGTTACCAAATGAACAACTTTATCACTTTGTGTTATACAAAACGGGACAATTGTCTGTTTTGAGCGACGCCAGACCGATATTACCAACAGGCTACCCAGGGGCGGATCCAGGAATTTTTGCAAGAGGGGGAGGGTTCATCGGCGAAAAAATTTGAATGTAGACAGGTTTTTTTCTCCGGACACCTGGCCTCCGAAAATCAATAGGTTTGGTAGTGGGGGAGGGGGGGGGGGGGGGTTTCGTACCATACTTTCATGGGGGCGCTGTTTAAATCCAACGATTATTAACACTATATCACACAATAGTGTACATATACCCCCTAGCCAAGCTGGCTCTGTCCGTATTTTGTCCAAAGGCAGAAATGTTTAACAATAAAACATTTTTTGGGTGTCAGAGCAGGGGGAGGGGTTGGCATTTTTTTGTCATAAATTTCCATGGAAAAAAATTGAGGGAGCTGGGGTCCCCCCCCCCCCTTGATCCGCGCCTGCTTCCTTGACAATTTTAACACATTGATATAAGACGATCGGTTTAATTCCGCGAAGTGCTGATTAAACACAACAGGTGTTTCAAGTGCAGGTCAGTGTTATTGAAGGAGGGGGCTGGGCCAGAGGAGGGATTTGAATTAATCCTCCCCATTCGGTGACGAGTTCCGCATTTTCCTGCTTTTTGTTTAGTTACATGTTTACTTTGTTTCCCATAATGTTCGAAAATATCACTACGACGCCATCTGTGCACACCAAAGATCCATTGCCAGTGGGATAAGCGTATAAACATGTACAACTCGCATACATGCATTAGCACGATATATGTTTAAAGTTGACATGAACAGTTCCATTTTGGGGGTTGACGAACCGCCGACTCTGAGGGAACGGGCCTGACTGCTGATTTCATGTCGGAACTGCATGTATTCGATCGTTGGTGACTTCGTCATACACGCGCATGCATCAAACACTCAAGCTGCGTTAACGTTCGGTTCCATTCGTGCTATACAGGGTGTCCCAATAAACATTGTGCATAAAGAAATCGCTGATTTTACCAAAAGTTGGTAAGGACTAGCTAATCAAATTCGTCACCGACACCACGAAGTAACACCCATCTACATACCAGTAAAAACTAGCAATCGGAGAAAAAGGCAACTAAAGTTGAACGCCTTCTAAAACAACACTTTGCGTCAAAACGACAGAGTATTTTCAGTTGGGTTTCTCGTTGTGGACACTTGATGAATTGAATTTATTAAATCTGCTGTTTTTCACCCGTTTGTGTATTAAATAAACAAGAAATAAGAGAAAAAAGATGAGTGTTAGTTCGTGAAACCGAAAAGGCTGCAAAACTGTAAATTTCGTTTTCACGAAGTAACACTCTTCAATGTATTCAACACGAGGAAAGTGCAACCTTAGGTCAACGCGCGCGCTCATACAACTTATTGCAAGAAGAGTGTTACTTCGTGAAAACGTTTTTGCTCACTTATGAGCAGAGTGCGCGCCATGCATTGCAATGGTCAATGGAACTTGAGTGTTACTTCGTGAAAACGAAAATTGTCACTTTTGCGCAAAAGTTGCCATGGATACTTAGCGCAATTATTAAAGTAAAGCTCTTGAAGCTTTGAAACTTCGTGCAATGGTAGGCCTTGATGAATAATGTTTAAAAATCCAAAAAACTGAAAATCGAAAAAAAAATATGGTGTTACTTCGTGGTGTCGGTGACGAATTTTATAGCATTTTCAAACCTGTGGTCTTGTTTATAATTGGTTAAAAAAAAACAAGAAAATCCAACGTTGCAAAGCAAAGATATCTTTGATTTGGTAAGGCTATGTATTTTTCGACCTGCACAATGCACATGTAATTTCCACACTATGCTACACCGTGTGAAGTACGCATGGTTAAATTGAGATGACGTCACACTAACGAACCGGATAGGAATGAGATAAAGCGAAGAAACTTACTATCCATTTCCCCCTGCATTTAACGGTCAAGCCGTTTGGATATTGCGGTGGGTAGATAGTGTAGACACCCAGCCCAGACATCCCGCTGTCCACGATGTCACTGCAGTCAGCATATCGGGGAGCAGAGGGTGTTGACGAAATCTCGACCTCATCCGTGGCTTCAACTCCATCGCTGACTTCTAAATGTTTGAGAAGCAATTCAGAAATAACTCTAAATTTAATTTCGAATTTAAAAGGCTTTGATGTTCCCTTATAGGCAGATCGTGTTCGTATTGTTAGCCGGATTCCCAACGTTCAGGGCTTTAAATATCTTTAAGCGAAACCCGAAACAAAAGGTTTTAGAAACCCCTAAGAAATTTTACAATAATTAGACCATTTATGATACTTGATGCTTGCATCCCTGTGTATTAGAAATGTGCGCTGCACCACTTTGTAACTTCGTTCCCATTGGGATAAAGGGGCGGTGGGGGCTCAGACTTTTTTTATTTTTTATATAAGGGGGAGTTAATATAAAAGATCCATACTGCGGACGTCAAAACTAATCAGAAAATAAATAAATTAAAACAAAATTTGAAAATGTTAAAGAACGCTTCGCTGAATCATGGCATATTCTTGAGAAAGGTTGTTCACAGAAAGAAGCAAGGCATGGAAGTCACATAACGTAGGTTCAATTCATAATGAAGACAATAAATCTAATAATTAAGGTAATAAATTGCTAAAAAAAAATTGAGCTAAATCAACTATTCGGGAGAATACAAAATTCTCAACATTTCTGAATGATAATTATTGAAAAACAATTAAGTAGATAAAAATAAAGTAGATATATTAATTTAATATTAATAAAGTAACTATTTTGAAAAGTGACTTCATTGATATTCACAACAAGATGCTTTTGGAGCTGTGTTCACTAAGTTCTCCTTACCAGTCGAGTTTCGTATTTCTGGAGCGGCTGCTTGCGTCTGGTGTTCACCAGGAAGCGGCTCCGGTGGTGGAATGACGTAGCAAGTCATCGACGGATGACTCTCGACACCAATTAATTGTACTGCAGATTGAAATTGAACCATAATCACCATTGATGAGAGTGTGTAATGTGCAGCCGTGGCGAAATATATTTCGCTCTGATAGTTTGATTGATAGATTGATCGTGTGATGGGGCGGTCATAAACGTTAAACGTTTCAAACCAGTTTTGGGGTCTGGCGGCCCATTGATGTAGGAAGAATTTTGTTCGGTGGGGGAAGACATCGACATCTCATGGAGTGATGTGACGCTAAGAGACGCTCTTTTTTCTCTTTCTTTTTAATAATATGATAATTTTTTTCAAAGTTGAACAATAAAATTGACTGGAGCGAGGTTTGAGACTGAGACCTAACGTTACAGGCGTGTATCCAGAGGGGTGGTTTTTGGTGGTCGAAGCACCTCCCCCAGCCCTGACTCCTTTTTTTTATACAAATATATTACAAATAATGTGAACCCCCCCCCCCTCCCCGCTCTGACACCCAAAATAATTGATGACAATCACTCCGGTAATAATAATGTCCGCCTGTGCACAACATTCGGCCTGAAAAAGCTGGGGGTATGGAGGTATTTGTACACGATTCTGTAATATAGTGTTCATGATTGTCGGATTTAAACATCGCTCCCACTGAAAGAATGGTACGAGCCACCCCCCCCCCCACCCCCACCCCCACCTATTGATTTTACTGGGGCCAAGACCGGAGAAAAAATGTCTACATTATTTTCAACATTGATTTGCTGATGAAACCCCCCCCCCACAAAAAATTCTGGATCCGCCCCATGCGTGGACGGTAATTTTGTGTTCCCCCCTTCCTTGGTAAATCTGCCCCCCCCCCCCCCGGGACAGATTTACCTTGTCCCCCTGCCCAACGAAAAATGTGTCCCCCTGGTAGATTAGGCTATACTTGAATCAATGGTTGGCCAACCGTATATACATGATGTAGTCTACCAATGATCGGTATGTAGTTATAAACATCTGGTCCAGTTGTTTTGCAATTAAAAGCTCACCAAACGTTTGTCCCTATTTTTGAAATCATGCGACCGACAAACAAGGATGATCTGATCACAAATCATCCAGCTTGTCCTCTATAATACAGTCGCTGACAACGTCGCGGACACTTTCGTCGGGGGCCGCCATCTTGAAATCACGTGAACAGAGTATGTGCTTTCAACATTGGCTATTTAATTTGTGTGGCTCAGACGTACGTAGCTCAAGATGCCCGCCCACGGCTGGCGAGATTTTCGCCTCACAAGGCGAAAACAAAATCAAACAGAACAGAGCAGGCTGCAGGTTGACCGTAAGGTCAGAGCCAAATTCTGCTAAATGCACATCCAAAATCTGTCAGATTTATTATCAAAAATCTGCCAACTTTCCCAGAATTACTCGAAACACACTATAAACACTTAAAATCACATGCAGATTGGTTAATTAAGATTCAAATTACATAATAAACAATAAGTCACATAAAGATGTTGTGAAATTATTGGTAAATTTTGGACAAATGCAGATCCGGTCACGACGAAGTCTGTTTCCCAGTGAACCTCAGCACCTAGATCAGCCAACCTGTCCCATTACGCAAGGGTTTGTTTGAAAGGATTGAAACTTTTTTAAACAAAATTGTACACTTTTTTTGTTCAAATTTGCTGTTTTTCTGTCAAATAACCATTTTTGCAGAATTCTGCCAGAAATCTGCCACAAAAATCCATTCCGTCAAATTTTCTGTCAAACTCGATTTTTTATTAAAATTCTGTCAAAGTTAGGCGAAAATCGGCTAAAACGGTCACCCTGGCAGGCTGCCACGAATGACTTTTTTGCTCAGCTTTAATAGATCTCGTGTAAAGTGCGGGATTAACATGGGGCTTGATAGCTTTTCCGGAACGGCATATCCCAAGGTCGTCCGTTCAAACCCCGCCCACTAAATTCTTTGTTCAACTCAGGAATGGAATAAAAAAGAATTGTCCTCAAATCAGAGAGAATTTTTGTTTCACCTGCAGTGGCACATGGGTTTTTAATCCAGACGTTCAATACTGCCCAACCGCATTCCCTTATGGGCGTTAATAATTATTCCACAACACTACAAGTAGGCCGATTTTGTTAATTGGCTCATTTCAAAGTGAAAAGCTCTGGTTTTGCTTGAATTAAAATAGGATTTATTTTTATTATTATTATTATTACTATTATTAATTATTATTATTATTATTTATTCGACCTCAACAGCACAAAAACAAGATCAGACAAAATATATATACATGTACAGAACAGATCCAAAAATCATAGCAATACAAAAATAACAAGACACATACATTATATATTTTGTTCGGGATAAAACACGATACCAAAAAGAAGAAAACTTCATTGATAATGAGAAGTTACCCAGCTGCTTTGGAGCGATATTTTCCCCTTTCTCCTCATGGCAATGTACTTGAATCCGTCGACTGTGTGTAATATGACACCACAATAATTAGCAATGCTCACTTTGTTTGGTATTGCGTATAGATGAATATAGGTGAATGGCATTGCCCGTATGAGTTAATACCATTTTTTTTAACCACGACAGAAACCGAAATGAATGGTTGAACAAGTTCCGGATGCTTACATGTTTACAGATGCTAATTAGCAAGAAAACACCGATGAACAATCAAACGGAAAATACTTGAAACAAAAAAGAAGCGTATCTCACACTATCGAGTGATGAGATTCATTGGCTCCTCCGCGTATGCAATTACTGAACTAATGTACTTGCCTATCCGCCAACGCATGATTGCTAATATCTTAGTGTTATGCGTTTTAATAGTGGTGTTATTATTCACTAAGATAACGGGGAAGCGCCCTATCATCCAGTGAGGTTTCCCACATTTCGAATTTGGAACCTCCGAACGGCCGGTCCCCCCCCCCCTCCCCGATAATTTTGGTTTTGGCTCTGCCGGTGAATACACGACGATCCTTAGCACCAAAGTTGTAGTACAAGCGTGACAGGTGCGGAAGGATGTTTTGTCCCCCGGACGGTTTCTTTTAGGAAACTGCGTACCTTCTAGGATATTCTGTTCCCTACTTCAGCGGAGAATTTGTCCCTTCGGGAGTTGTTATTGTTTCCATGCAGTGGGCCTGTAACGCATGATTTGCTCATTTCTGTTATACGTCAACTTAGTTGACAATAATATATATAGGTTTTCCTGGCCACTTAAAAAATATTTTACCTTTCAAATTGACCAACTCTATCATTCGATTTCGTCCAGGAAAAAAATTCATACGCTTTTAACAAAATCAATTTAGTCATTTTTGGTCACCGGGTCGAGAATTTTCGTCATTTCAGATCAAATTCGTCCAAGCTGTTGCCGAATGGCAGCATTCGGATATCGAATTCGTCTTATATGAATCAATTAGACAAATTCTATATTTGGCGTAGACGAGACGAAATCGAATACTCCAGGACGAAAACGTGTGCTCATTGTTTGAATTGGCTGGATCTGAATTTGAAATTGTCTGACAAAAAAGTGCACTGAATAGATGTTGATAGACGAATTTGAATACTAGAAACGGTGAATTCGAACGATAAACGCTTTAAACTAGCCGGAAAAACCATTATATTAGGCCAAAGTGGGCGAGTTCAAGATAATGTCGGGCCCTCAACTATTTGTCACACTGAATCCGATCAAAAAATATGGATACCAGATGCACTGTAAATGCCTCAAATTCTTTTGCAGTGTGTGTTAAAAAACCCATTACTATACTTTTAGTCATGTACGACAAAATTGTCAACTTACCGAGAACGACGGTCGCAAGTGTGCGGAGAGCCACGGGTAGATTCATCGTGACGGCCCGGTAGCTGCTGGCTGATTCTCGCTTCTTTGAGTCCAATGTTGAAGCTGGTATGTCGATCGCAACTTTTGACGGCGTATAGCAGATTCGGATGTCGCTGATGCAACAGTCCTCCTCAGTTTGTCTTTCATCAGTAAGTTAGGCTACACTAGTCAAATAGTAGGCGTTGGCCACATCAGATATTCATCATGTGACATATCACGTCAATGAAATACATGGCTGCATTGTATAATTTCACTTGAATTGTTCAAAGGATAATAAAACCCACCTAAAGAATGCAACAGAAATGCTATACATGTCTCTGGTTGAAATTTAACCATTGTTGACTGCTGCGATGTGGGATATGACTTTTTAACACCCGAGGGGCCATATCATCCGAGGCAAAGCCGAGGGTGCTATGGTGCTATGCGCCCCGAGGCTATGCGCCCCTTTGCGCCCACGGATCCTAGACACCAGGATTAACGACTGTTCTGAGCTCTAGTACAAAATGCAATGAGCGGAGTTGTCTAGACGCGTGATAACGGGCATTAATACCCGTTGGCTAGTAATCGCGAATTTTCCAGGTGTACCATTGTGTTGGGTTTTCGCATGGCATCTAAAACGGAAATATTCATAAAACTGTAAGCAAAACTACTCCTTATTTTAAGATATAATTGTTCCAAAATTATTAAAAAATAAATACTTCAGGATATAACAGTAGTCAGGGATGTTAGGGCGTTATAGGGGCCGTTTGGTTCAGTTTCTTCCAAAAGCACCAAATTTGGCACAGATGTCAGTCATACCATACTATTTCGATTTTTGACGGGCGCCAAGACGGGCGCCCCACGGGGCCGCCATATTGGCAAAATCCAATATGGCCGCCAACCGGGTCAGAGGTCAATCGAACTAAACGAGCTAGAATCATAAATAATACCACTTTTCAGGTATTTTCGGGGTCGAGCAATCTGAATCTGATGTTATTTTAACGATTTGAGGCAAGACAGATTGGCAAAATCCAAAATGGCCGCCACATACCGCAGTTAAAAAACTTAACTAGCTAGAATCATAAGTAATACAAACTTTGGAGGGCTTTTCGGTGTCAACGAATCTGAATCTGAGGTTATTTTAATGATTTGATGCCAGACGGATGCCCCAGGGGCCATATTAGAAAAATCCAAAATGGCCGCCAGCCAAGTTAGAGGTAAGTCACAGTTAAAAACTAAACGAGCTACAATTAAGGATTGGACTTATCAATAAAGATTATTGTTTGAACTATTTTCATTTAAATATTTAGAGATGATGTCTGCAGTGACAAAATGCTATATGCCGCTGTGTGCGTTTAAATGGAGCTGTTCATTTGTAGAGGACCTTGCATATAGAAACCTACATGTAGTGTGATTGCATTTCAACCTTCCTTTGCATGAGGCAGCCGCAGCGCACGAGAATGGCACATGTCACTGAAGCATCATTGAGAGTTGGTCCATAGTGATTGCCATGTACTGGTACCATCTTTGTGCCAGCCCCACACGATGAAGTCAGGAATTTCCTGCTGGACCGAGGTGGCCTGTACGTAGTAGCGGTTGCTTTACATGTTCAAACAGCACGGCAGGTAGCTAGGATGCTTCCGACAAGCTGCTTCCAGTAGTGAAGAAGCGATGTCTGGCCCCTTTGATACCCAGTTGCACCACACCCCTTGTGCTCTGCATGAAATGGGGAAGCAAGTTGTGTCGCACCATGTTAGGCTTTGGAAGAAGGGTGGTGCCAAGGACTTTGTCAGACCGAGATCGGAGTAGATGCTTTGGATTAGAATGTTACTGTACTTTTCACCACTTCTGAAGCCCACCCAGATCTCCAATAGGCCAAGGATCTCCAAAACAAGCTTGAAATGATCTCGAAAGTGATCGCAGTGACTCGACTCTCAATCCTTCACTGGCTCAGTGGGTCGCATATCAAGTTACTCCAGTGCACCCTTAAGATGTGGATGCAGCCTTGTCTAGGTTTAGGGCGTACATCCCAATTTTGGCATGGGGCTTTGCCGTCTCGTTTGCTAGCACTGAGTTAATTGTATCCCAACCAGGTGAGGATGTCACCATCTGCAAACTTGTTATGATGTGTCGAAGAAGTCAAGCTTGATGAGCCCGCCTCACTGCAGGGTTCTCATGCGAGAAATGGATATTTACGGTTTGGGCATATCACTGGAACTCACCAAGTGAGAGGTTGCCCTGAGCCTTGGTTATCTGTGATCAACATCTTGGGTGGTGAAGACAATGAAACGACCGTTGGTTGATAGCTCCACCCATCCTCAGCATGGCAGACACACACCACACGCGCCTATACATCCTTAAAATAACTAGGGACAATTTTCTCGCTCCAATCTAAGATTGTTTCTGTGGTATGCGTAGCAATGTCAAACTGTCCGACATGTGCAGCTAATGGGAAAAGGTTTTTTTTATGGAATGACGCACCAGAAACACCAGGTATGACCGGAATGATCTCGAGTGGTAAACTTGACATCAAATAATTAAAATAACATCAGAATCAGACATTTGGACCCCCCCCCCCCAAAAAAAACCGTTGTATTGTTTTAACTGCGAGTACCTCCAACCTGGGTGGCGGCCATTTTTTTCAAAAATGGCGGCTCCTAGAGCATCTGTCTTGCCTCGAATCATTAAAATGACATCATATTTAGATTCTGTGACCCCGAAAACCCATAAAAGGTGGTATTATTTAAGATTTTAGCTCGTTATTTTCTTAACTGTGATATATGTGGCGGCCATTTTGGATTTTGCCAATATGGCGGTCCCTTGGGGCATCTGTCTTGCCTCAAATCGTTAAAATAACATCAGATTCAGATTGCTCGACCCCAAAAATACCTGAAAAGTGGTATTATATATGATTTTAGTTCATTTAGTTCAATTGACCTTTGACCCAATTGGCGGCCATATTGGATTTTGCCAATATGGCGGCCCCGCGGGGCGCCCGTCTTGGCGCCCGTCAAAAATCGAAATAGTATGGTATGACTGACATCTGTGCCAAATTTGGTGCTTTTGGAAGAATGTGAACCAAAATATCCCTAAGACCCCCGACTACAGATGGTATTGTGCAGTTTTTGTCGTCATAGATGAAGTATTTACCCGGGGAATACACGTGAAATTTCGAGGAGAACACTGTTTACCCAAATTTCGTTTTTAATTAGGCTTTTATTAAAAAGTTTTAGAGAGATGTGATGCCGAACCGATGAAACAAAAGTGACATTTCATTGCTCATCTTAAAGCTACAGATATTGTGCTCGACATTACCATGGTTATGTAGTTATCACCTATCAGAATTCAATAATAAAGACCAAAAACGTTGACTCATGAATATTCAAAAATATACTTCGCTGGCTTGACAGACTTCGACGCCAGATCGGGCGCAGAGCCTTGCAAATCTGAAAGCCACCGCGCGCAGTGGTCTTTGTTGGAAAGTATTCATGGTATTTGCTACCAGTACAGGCCGTTATCACGCGTCTAACCAGGAGTTGGGCGAGTCGTTATTCCTTGTGTGTAGGATCCGTGATGCGCCCCGCTTTCAATTTGAGATACCGACTTAAAACAATTTCGACTTGAGTCAAGTCTACCGTGAGTTCTCATTGCGCAGACCTAGCGCCTTGGCAGGTTCCACACGCGCGCGCAATGCGCACAATGAAGGCAATCCGATATCACGCTCAGTGTGGAACACGTAATTTTATTTGTCCAGACACGGGACCATCCTAGACCAATGAAATTACAGTATCCAAGCACACGAAAATAGCAACACCTTTTTTATTAATTTTCATATCAAGGTTGAGTAGCCTACTCTTATCACATCACACTATTTATAACGGCGCTAAAGCACGCGTTTATTACTCTCCGCCCATCGACAGGTGGCAGCAGACATTTTTACATACCGTTTTCCGCTGATAATACGTGAAACGAAAATAACGCAGTTCTGCAATAGTGGTGCTGCTAAGCGAAAGATCGTGCATTCTTGGTAATTAAAAAGCATGAATAGGGCTAAAATCAAGATGTGATCCAATCTTGGATCTTGCCCATAAAACAAAAAACTCATTAAAAACTGTATTTAGCATCCATTTTCCTTCTTTGTTGTATGCTCTGAAATAAACGTATAAGATAAGATATTCTAACATTTTAACATCTGTTTCTTCCCCCATTTTGTGGGCATGGCGTTAATTTGTAAAAGAGGCTGTATATGATAGCAGTTTAATTGATTCAAATGTGGAAAAATATCATTCAGATTGATAGTGATAAATTAAGAAATCGCAAAGACTGTGTCAAGGCATTTGCTTGAAAATAATTGAAATCAATAAAAATTGTGACTACATACTTGAAGCTTCAAAATTCCATATGTTTTTTCAATAGTTGCGCAGCCTTTGAGCTCACAACATAAGCAACTACCACGAACCTTGCGACACAGATGGTTCAAACAATAATGGGCGTGACGGTGCACGACAACTGGTGACAGTAGACGTACAACACGGGGTGATCAACACAAAACGACCGTTTGGTTCACGACACCAATTAAGTGACAGTGGTCAAGCCATTGTTGTAGCCATTGCTATAGGGCTGCCGGCTTTCTTGGTCTCATTGTGTATATCATCTGGCGAAGAAGGAAAAAAAAGCGCTACGTAGAAAATTAGTAAGTTAGAAACTGAACACTTAAAATCGAGTGAGCAAGGCAAGACAAGACAAGAGCTTTGTTTCAGAGCCATTTTGTGTCCAAATATCTAATGCTGGGTATCGGGACAAAGCTGTGTATGAAAACAGATGTTCAAAAGTTTGTCATTATTTTTGGACATGACGTCAACGAAATAAGTATAGCATTACAAATCCAAATACTGTAGTCCATTGCCATTTTCTGGCATGATTTTAGTCTGAACAGTTGGTTCAATTTTTTTGGTCAATTCAGTGTTCTGGTTTTTATATTTTCTTGTAACCGAAGAACGTGAAACTCACGATCACAGAAGTCATCAGGCGAAAGCAGTTGAAGTGGTTTGGCCATGTAGCAAGAAGGCCACCGGACAGCTATGTCGCTAGAGCATACCGGCAGGACTTCACGAACCCAAGACCTCGTGGCAGACCTCCCAAGAAGTGGATCTCACAAATTCGTGAGGACACCGGCCTTCCCATAGCAACAGCCGAACGCCGAGCATCTCACCGTGAGGGCATTCGTGGTTGTCTACAACAGGGGAGCACAAGGGTCCCATGGGACTGAGCATTTAAGTCAAGTAAGTCAAGAAGAACAAACTTCAAATCGGTTTACAAGCCTTACAAACCCTTTCATTAAAAAAAAACGGTTTCTAAAAGAAAGAGCAGGTCAGGGGACTGCTGATCAATCTATTATTGGGGTTAAACTCCTTCAATTACGGATTGTTGACAAATGGCAATTAAAGAGAAGAACTTGGTGCGTGTGCCGTAAAGCCGTGGATGTGACGAGCTTGAGTTGCTACATGCCTTATAAAAAAGTCAGACACATGTCGCTTGAGGACGGGGGGGGGGGGGGGCATGGGCGTCGCCAGGATTTTTGTAGAGGGGGGCAAAGCGCATCCCCCCGAAATCCCTGTACTTAATTCCATCATATTCTCGACTTATCATTTTTCGAGGGTGGGCAGGGACATTTCACCCGCCTCCCCACCCCTTTCAATTTCAGCAATATGACTTCGCACCTCGTTTTCTTTTTCTCCCTTCCCCCCCCCTCCTTTTTGTGTGTGTGGTTTTTTTTTTCCTGTTTTTTTTTTGGGGGGGGGGGCCTTGTCCCCCCTCGCGACGCCCATGGAGGGGGGGGACCACTGATCAAGATTGAGTGGCCTTTGACCGGCCAGCCACTGCCTTGTCGACAAATCTCACAATATGGCCGCACGCGTTTTTTATTGATGACATTTATTATTCAAAAAGATACTGTTTAGTACATTACATCCTTGTTAAGCAGTGTGAAAATGCTACTCACCAAAAGCAACATAGTTTGACTGACTATATTTTCTTAACAATATCAGTAGTATATTGTACCTTCTATCTACATATTTAAGTGTGTGTGGTTATAAATGTGTATGTGAAAGGTTGAATCAAAATCGATCGTTCAAAATGACTGTACCCACAAAACAATAAGATAACCCAGACTCAATTTGAATGGAACGAGAATGAAACTAAATTCAATTTTTGAAACACTGAAATCACAGCGTAACGTAAATTACATCTATGGTAAATGTATCGATAAATAGCATAAGAACGTTGCGAAATCCTCATTAGGATAAGTACCACTTGCTATAGCGTTTGAATTATCTAAAACACTGTGAAACTGACATATTAACAGTGTTAATATATTGTAAACGTTGTTCAATCTTTCTATATCTTAAAAGTTTTCTACACACCTATCCGTATGCATTGTAGTTAATGGCTCACAAATTGGTCAACCATATTATTTACAACATAATACATAATAATCATTCCTTTGTATATTAGTAGTATTCAGATGTATAGCTTAAACAGATGTATTGTGTTAAACTATTCCGGCATGATTTCCCACCCTTAAAGGGCAATGAAATATAATGAAATATACCGGAAACGAATTTAGTTGGTCTATACACTCCGTGCACAAGTGCGCCCTCACAAGCAACAAATAAAGAGTGTTAACAATTGTAGTATAGCTACCTAGTGCAGAATGTGCTGAGCAAAGAAAAGAACGATATTAAGGTCCGGTAACCAGCCAAAGGTAACCGGTGTCTATTGTCTGTAACTGGCCCCCGTTTGGTGCTTTCTTGCCTCTAACGTGTAGTGTGCTTGGAAATGAATCTGTGTGTTTTCGCGTAAAAACGTTGTAGCCAGTTATGGTTTGAAACCAAACTTAGATAAACTGTGAATAAGTGCTGATTTTTTTTTGTTTACTTCTTATCTTAAATTCATAATTTATAAATATATTGAAATAAATAATTAGATGACATATGTGAAATGTTGATCTACATAGAATAACACTTTTACAATAAACACCCGCATTTTACTATACAATATTCATAAATACCTAAGACAGTTTTCCCATTCCTATTGGTCGAGAGCCAATCACGTGGCCGGTTTTACGGTCTATAAAGACCGGCTGGCAGGTCTTAAAACACTTTTCCAGCGACATATGAAAATTGGACTCCTACATGAAATCCGGTGCCTGCCAGTACCGTTTTGTTGATTAAACATTCACAATCCTCACTTAGGTATGCGCAATATTGTTTCATAGTCCTAAATTCACACTACACCGGAACAGCTGCGTTCTGTGCCGATAAGGAGGTTTTTAAGGTTACTCGCGAGAAGGCCATACCAAAGCACATAAGCTAGATGGGTGTTCCGAAAAAAACCCAATGAAGTTAAATTGTTGAGTAAAAATGTTGGAAAATTTAAAAAAAAATTGACTTGTTTTGTACCGAAAAGGTATTTATGAACGGGAATAAATATGTGCTTGCCCGAAATGAAACACTCTGTTTAAGGCCGGTTGGAGTATGGATGCTGATACAGCATTCACTATAATCTAAAAACCACCAGCAAACACCTTGCAATCGCACGTCGCTAGATTTCTATCACGAAATTTCTATCACGAATTTTAAGGGTAGTTGATAAACGTAGAAGAACGGTTGCTTAATTTTTTTTATCCTTTAAACTGTCATGGTTTCCATGATTTTCAGTGAAGCAGATAGTATTTGGTCACCAAACTCAAGCGCACCAGCCCACCTCATACCGCGGTAATCTTGCCCCGTGTAGTTGACGGGATAGGAATACTCCCCATTCAGGTTAGTCGGCACGAGATCCACATTCCCGACTCCTCCAGTACAAGTCTTGAACCACCAGCCTCCCTTCAGCTGAGCGGCACAATTGGCGTTGCCATCGGCGTCAATGTCGCGATCGTAGGTTGAGAACGGCTGGCCTAAGGAAACGTCAGTGAGAGACTTTCCTAGCAAACGGATGAAAATGATACCAAATGCTGAGATTGTTGGAAAAGCAATGTGCTATTCCACTGAACATGTGTAAGACAAAAAAGCTTCCTCTGAGTACATTCGAATGACTTCTAGCTTAAATTAACTGTACAAACGTTCAACCACCAACCATCAGTGTGTCGACTAGCCGATACCAAACCGATGTAACAAAACGTGCCTTTATCAGGTAAACTCCACCTTAAAAGAAGTATCATCTTTTGAAATTTTAGGCGACGAAGAGGTGTAAAGGAATTTTAAAGGGACATCTGTGACATAGTTTACAGGCATATTTCACAAGTATCTATCAAAGACCACCAAAAAAACTACATCGTGACTTTTTACTCGTTGAAAATCAAGTAGATTCCTAGCCAAAATAGAATAAGCTTTGTCAACACAGTCTGCGTGAAAAAAGTATCACGCTTTATTTACACATAAATTGACAGGAAAATAAAGACTTGGGGTGAAACAATAACACGCATTCAATGCTTGGTGATGCAATTTTTGGAAAAGGTAATGTTGACCTGCTACGTGAGGTTTCGTGCACCGTGTACTTTTTATGCATTGTATCAATTGAATTTCGTGATTTCAATTCTTTGTTTTCCCTTCAATGACACAATGTAAACAAAGCACGACTTTGGTGTTTGCAATCATGGCGACAAAACTGGCATAATGGACAAAACTACTTTGAAATTGTTTCATAAAGGAAGCTATTTATACGACAACGAGTATCAAAAGGTAAAAGTTCGCATATTACTGTGTTCTTAACAGTGTCCATTCAAAACGAATATTACATTTCTTGAGGGCTTTCATGAATTGTATATAAACAGTAGCATATTTGTTTAGAAAGAAGACTAGTTGATACCTTTTGAGTAATGAAGTTCCCCTGGTTGCAATGGATCCACATGTAGTGTGTAGTTGTCACCTGTGATCTTGAACTGCGTCCAGGTTATTCTCTTTAAGCCTTTTGCTTCTTCCACTATAATCTGTAGTTTCCAAGTGCCTTCCGAGGTCAGCTGGCGGACTACCTCGTTGCCCAGCCAGAACTCCCCCGTCAGATCACCGAAGCCGTCTCGGTACTCGGCCCAGCTACGGGTGAAATTGACCGACCCGCGTTTACGATTCTGAATCACCTAGAATGAGTCAGCAAAAAACGAAGTTACCAAATGAACAACTTTATCACTTTGTGTTATACAAAACGGGACAATTGTCTGTTTTGAGCGACGCCGGAACGATATTACCAACAGGCTACCCAGGGGCGGATACAGGAATTTTTGCAAGAGGGGGAGGGTTCATCGGCGAAAAAAATCTGAAATGTAGACAGGTTTTTCTCCGGACACTTGGCCTCCGAAAATCAATAGGTTTGGTAGTGGGGGGAGGGGGGGGGGGTGGTTCGTACCATACTTTCATGGGGGCGCTGTTTAAATCCAACGATTATTAACACTATATCACACAATAGTGTACATATACCCCCTAGCCAAGCTGGCTCTGTCCGTATTTTGTGCAAAGGCAGAAGTGTTTACCAATAAAACATTTTTGGGTGTCAGAGCAGGGGTAGGGGTTGGCATCTTTTTGTCATAATTTCCATGGAAAAGAATTGAGGGAACTGGGGTTCCCCCCCCCCCCCCTTGATCTGCGCCTTCTTCCTTGACAATTTTAACACATTGATATAAGACGATCGGTTTAATTCCGCGAAGTGCTGATTAAACACAACAGGTGTTTCAAGTGCAGGTCAGTGTTATTGAAGGAGGGGGCTGGGCCAGAGGAGGGATTTGAATTAATCCTCCCCATTCGGTGACGAGTTCCGCATTTTCCTGCTTTTTGTTTAGTTACATTTTTACTTTGTTTCCCATAATGTTCGAAAATATCACTACGACGCCATCAGTTTTGTGCACACCAAAGATCCATCGTCAGTGGGATAAGCGTATACACATGTACAACTCGCATACATGCATTAGCACGATATTTGTGTAAAGTTGACATGAAAAGTTCCATTTTGGGGGTTGACGAACCGCCGACTCTGAGGGAACAGGCCTGACTGCTGATTTCATGTCGGCCCCGCTTGTGTTCGATTGTTGGTGACTTCGTCATACACGCGCATGCATAAAACACTCAAGCTGCGTTAACGTTCGGTTCCATTCGTGCTACACAGGGTGTCCCAATAAACGTTGTGCATAAAGAAATCTTCTCAAAAGTTGGTAAGGACTAGCTAATTAAATTTTATAGCATTTTCAAGCCTGTGGTCTTGTTTATAATTGGTTTAAAAAATCAAGAAAATCCAACGTTGCAAACCAAAGATATCTTTGATTTGGTAATTTTGGTAATGTATTTTTCGACCTGCACAATGTACATGTAATTTCCACACTATGCTACACCGTGTGAAGTACGCTAACGAACCGGATAGGGATGAGATAAAGCCAAGAAACTTACTATCCATTCCCCCCTGCAGTAAACGGTCAAGCCGTTGGGATATTGCAGTGGGTAGATAGTGTAGACACCCAGCCTAGACATCCCGCTGTCCACGATGTCACTGCAGTCAGCATATCGGGGAGCTGAGGGTGTTGACGAAATCTCGACCTCAACCGTGGCTTCGGCTCCATCGCTGACTTCTAAATGATTGAGAAGCAATTCAGAAATAACTCTAAATTTAGTTTCGTATTTAAACGGCTTTGATGTTCCCTTATAGGCACATCGTGTTCGTATTATTAGCCGGATTCCCAACGCTCAGGGCTTTAAATATCTTTAAGCGAAACCCGAAACAAAAGGTTTTAGAAACCCCTAAGAAATTTTACAATAATTAGACCATTTATGATACTTGATGCTTGCATCCCTGTGTATTAGAAATGTGCGCTGCACCACTTTGTAACTTCGTTCCCATTGGGATAAAGGGGCGGTGGGGGCTCAGACTTTTTTTATTTTTTATAAGGGGGAGTTAATATAAAAGATCCATACTGCGGACGTCAAAACTAATAAATAAATTATAACAAAATTTGAAAATGTTAAAGAAAGCTTCGCTGAATCATGGCATATTCTTGAGAAAGGTTGTTCACAGAAAGAGGCAAGGCATGGAAGTCCCATAACGTAGGTTCAATTCATAATGAAGACAATGAATCTAATAATTAAGGTAATAAATTGCTAAAACAATTGAGCTAAATCAACTATTCAGGAGAATACACAATTCTCAACATTTCTGAATGATAATTATTAAAGAACAATAAAGTATAGATAAAAATAAAGTAGATATATTAATATAATATTAATAAAGTAACTAGTTTGAAAAGTCACTTCACTGATATTCACAAAAAGACGCTTTTGAAGATGTGTTGACTAAGTTCTCCTTACCAGTCGAGTTTCGTGTCCCTTGGCATCGTTGGTGTAGTTCTCGAGACGCTGCTTGCATCCAATATTCACCAGGAAGCGGCTCCGGTGCCAGACCGAAGTAACTGCAAGTCCTCAACTGACTCTCAGCAACAATTAACTGTACTGCAGATTGAAATTGAATCATAATCACCATTGATGAGATTGTAGTGTGCAGCCGTGGCGAAATATATTTTGCTCTGATAGTTTGATTGGTTGATAGATTGATAGTGTGATGGAGCACCAGGAGAAGTCATAAACGTTAAACGTTTCAACCGGTTTGGGGGTCTGGCGGCCCATTGATCTAATAATATGATATTTTTTTTTCAAAGTTGAACAATAAAATTGACTGGAGCGAGGTTTGAGACTGAGACCTCCCCGATTGTCGTTCCAGGCATGGATCCAGAGGGGTGGTTTTTGATGGTCGAACCCCCCCCCAGCTCTGACTCCATTTTTTTAATAGAAATATATTACAAATAATGTGATCCCTCCCCCTCCCTGCTCTGACACCCAACAAATTGATGACAATCACACCGGTAATAATAATGTCCGCCTGTGCACAACATTCGGCCTGAAAAAGCTGGGGATACGGACGTATTTGTACAGTATTCTGTAATATAGTGTTCATGATTGTCGGATTTGATCATCGCTCCCACTGAAAGTATGGTACGAGCCAGTGGCGTAGCCACCGGGGGGCGTGGGGGGCGACCGCCCCCCCCCCCATGAAACCTTGTCGCCCCCCCCCCAGTCGCCCCCCCCCTGAGATTTTGAGTTTCTAAGAAAATTATCATTGATCTAAATCTAAATAGTCGCAAATGATCCACATGATGACCACTGAGAAACGACCCTTCGACCGGCGACCGCGGACCAGTAAGCTGACAACCGGCGTGACATAGCGCATAATGATAATCTAAAATGCGTATTAACACCCACTGCACTGCTCGCTCACACCACGGAACACGTATTATAGACAGGTGGTCCGTGGGTCACACAGTATCAGTCAGCGATATCACGCGAATCGGCCACGCACAAACTTTTTCCTCCATTCATATAAGCTAAATAATAATAATAGACCAATTAAAGGGAATATACAACATTTGCAAACATCGGAAAATAAAACTACCAAGTTTTTGCGAAATACCTTAATAGGATGTTGGTAAATGACAGTCTAAAGCATCCTGTAAAATTATGGCACCTGGTATACTGTCATTTTCAAGAAAAGTGGTATTTTTGTATCAATTTCCAACGCTGATCGGCCGATCAGCGTTGGAAACAACTGGCTTTTTTTTCAAATACTGGCCCCAATTGACCATCGCACTTGTTTACAATCGATTACAAACCTATGAACGGGTACGAGCCAGCTAGACTGGTTCCCTAACCTTACAATTCCCCAATGTATGTAAACTGTTCTGTTTCTTCTTATATGGAGTCAGGGAACCAGACTACAGGAAAATGATCGTTTTTCTTGGTTTTTATAGCATTTTCGAACCCAAAACCTCCAAAAAATCAGTGTAACTATATTTGCTTTATATTTCCAACCCCCCAATTCCAACCATTTCTGAAAATTACAGCAAAAGCAAATGATGTATATTCCCTTTAAAATTCCTTGAAATCAGTGGCGGAAACCTTGTCGCCCCCCCCCCCAGTAGCCCCCCCCCCCCCCCCAGGAAATATTGCCCCCCCCCCAACTGAGATATAGAGTTTCTAAAAAAATTATCATTGATCTACATGACGTCATGGGCGTCATACCTGGGGGGGGACAGGGGGACTGGTCCCCCCCCCCCCTACTTTTTGAAGGGTGGGGGACACAATATCAAATGCCCCCCCCCCCCAGATTTTTGAACTCATTTACAGGGCCCTATTATGTACTACAATGTATCTTTTGCTTAGAAAATATTGGTTAAAGTGGTCAGAAATTGTCTCAGATAGCACCACAGACCATTTAGAATCCACATTTTTTCGGGGCCCCTGAGCGGGCCCCGAACCCCACGCCTATAGCCCAGAATTCTGGTAGCTGATTCATTGACTCCAACCTCGAAAACAATGTTCAAAAAAATTTCTTATGCCTATTTTTGACATGTTCATGTCTCCCTAATGTCACAGTCCCCCCCCCCTTTAGAGGCGCAATTGAGTTATTTTTGTTGCTCGTGGACTACTTAGTAAACATACCAAAATTCGTGGAAAAAGGACAAGGGAATATTGTGTTAGGGCACATTTAAGTTTGAAAAATGTTGTGCACAAGTCTATGGGAATGTCTCCCAAATGTCTAATCCAGGGTAATAATAATAATTATTATTATTACATGTATTTATATTTATTCGACCTGAACAGCACAAAAATAAGAACAGACAAAATATATATACATGTACAGAACAGATCCAAAAACCATAGAAATACAAAAATAACAAGACAAATACATTAAATATTTTGTTCGGGATAAAACACGAGACCAAAAAACAAAAAAAACTTCATTCATAATTTCAACAAATTGACATCTGCCAAGAGTCAAATCACCCGCCAAATACGGCTCCTTTCCCGGTCTATCGAGACTAGCACCCCACCCACCTTACATCGAGGTAACTTACGGCCACCACGTCTGAAATTTCAGAGTGCATTCCAGGATCGCTGGAGCAATCTCCAGGAGAGAACGTCGTTGCTCTTTACAAGAGTAACATTGGAGGAATACCTAACAATTTGAATTATACTGAACATTAAATGAAATCTAGTGGTGGCTTTTTGAAATTCAAATTGAGAATTGAGCTTGGTGATGTTCGGGGACGAAATTAAAGTATCGATATAGGGAATTCGTGTGATACAAGTGTTAAAAGAGCCGGGAAAACCTATATCAGGCCAAAGTGGGCGAGTTCAAGATAATGTCGGGCCCCTAAACTATTTGTCACACTGAATCCGATCAAAAAATATGGATACCAGATGCACTGAAAATGCCTCAAATTCTTTTGCAGTGTGTGTTAAAAAAAACCATTACTATACTTTTAGTCATGTACGACAAAATTGTCAACTTACCGAGAACGACGGTCGCAAGTGTGCGGAGAGCCACGGGTAGATTCATCGTGACGGCCCGGTAGCTGCTGGCTGATTCTCGCTTCTTTGAGTCCAATGTTGAAGCTGGTATGTCGATCGCAACTTTTGACGGCGTATAGCAGATTCGGATGTCGCTGATGCAACAGTCCCCCTCAGTTTGTCTTTCATCAGTAATTTAGGCTACACTAGTCAAATAGTAGGCGTTGGCCACATCAGATATTCATCATGTGACATATCACGTGAATGAAATACATGGCTGCATTGTATAATTTCACTTGAATTGTCCAAAGGATAATAAAACCCACCTAAAGAATGCAACAGAAATGTTATACATGTCTCTGGTTGAAATTTAACCATTGTTGACTGCTGTGATGTGGAATATGACTTTTTAACATCCGAGGGGCCATATCATCCGAGGCAAAGCCGAGGGTGCTAAGGTGCTATGCGCCCCGAGGCTATGCGCCCACGGATCCTAGACACCAGGATTAACGACTGTTCTGAGCTCTAGTACAAAATGCACTGAGCGGAGTTGTCTAGACGTGTGATAACGGGCATTAACACCCGTTGGCTAGTAATCGCGAATTTTCCAGGTGTACCATTGTGTTGGGTTTTCGCATGGCATCTAAAACGGAAATATTCATAAAACTGTAAGCAAAACTACTCCTTATTTAAGATATAATTGTTCCAAAATTATTAAAAAATAAATACTTCAGGATATAACAGATGGTATTGTGCAGTTTTTGTCGTCAGATTTATTATTTACCCGGGGAATACACGTGAATTTTGAGGAGAACACTGTTTACCCAAATTTCGTTTTTAATTAGGCTTTTATTAAAAAGTTTTAAAGAGATGTGATGCCGAACCGATGAAACAAAAGTGACATTTCATTGCTCATCTTAAAGCTGCAGATATTGTGCTCGGCATTACCATGGTTATGTAGTTATCACCTATCAGAATTCAATAATAAAGACCAAAAACGTTGACTCATGAATATTCAAAAATATACTTCGTTGGTTTGACAGACTTCGACGCCAGATCGGGCGCAGAGCCTTGCAAATCTGAAAGCCACCGCGCGCAGTGGTCTTTGTTGGAAAGTATTCATGGTATTTGCCACCAGTACAGGCCGTTATCACGCGTCTAACCAGGAGTTGGGCGATTCGTTATTCCTTGTGTGTAGGATCCGTGATGCGCCCCGCTTTCAATTTGAGATACCGACTTAAAACAATTTCGACTCGAGTCAAGTCTACCGAGAGTTCTCATTGCGCAGACCTAGCGCCTTGGCAGGTTCCACACGCCCGCGCAATGCGCACAATGAAGGCAATCCGATATCACTCTCAGTGTGAAACACGTAATTTTTTCTCCAGACACGTGACCATCCTAGACCAATGAAATTACAGTTTCCAAGCACACGAAAATAGCAACACCTTTTTTATTAATTTTCATATCAAGGTTGAGTAGCCTACTCTTATCACATCACACTATTTATAACGGCGCTAAAACACGCGTTTATTACTCTCCGCCCATCGACAGGTGGCAGCAGACATGTTTACATACCGTTTTCGGCTGATAATGCGTGAAACGAAAATAACGTAGTTCTGCAATAGTGGAGCTGCTAAGCGAAAGATCGTGCATTCTTGGTAATTAAAAAGCATGATTAGGGCTAAAATCAAGATGTGATCCAATCTTGGATCTTGCCCATAAAACAAAAAACTCATTAAAACTGTATTTAGCATCCATTTTCCTTCTTTTTTGTATGCTCTGAAATAAACGTATATTTATATTTTTGTGGGCATGGCGTTAATTTGTAAAAGAGGCTGTATATGATAGCAGTTTAATTGATTCAAATGTGGAAAAATATCATTCAGATTGATAGTGATAAATTAAGAAATCGCAAAGACTGTGTCAAGGCATTTGCTTGAAAATAATTGAAATCAATAGAAATTGTGACTACATACTTGAAGCTTCAAAATTCCAATGATCAATTCAGTGTTCTGGTTTTTATATGTTCTTGTAACCGAAGAACGTGAAACTCACGATCACAGAAGTCATCAGGCGAAAGCGGTTGAAGTGGTTTGGCCATGTAGCAAGAATGCCAACGGACAGCTATGTCGCTAGAGCATACCGGCAGGACTTCGCGAACACAAGACCTCGTGGCAGACCTCCAAAGAAGTGGATCTCACAAATTCGTGAGGACACCGGCCTTCCTATAGCAACAGCCGAACGCCGAGCATCTCACCGTGAGGGCATTCGTGGTTGTCTACAACAGGGGAGCGCAAGGGTCCATTTAAGTCAAGTAAGTCAAGAAGAACAAACTTCAAATCGGTTTACAAGCCTTACAAACCCTTTCATTAAAAAAAATACGGTTTCTAAAAGAAAGAGCAGGTCAGGGGACTGCTGATCAATCTATTATTGGGGTTAAACTCCTTCAATTACGGATTGTTGACAAATGGCAATTAAAGAGAAGAACTTGGTGCGTGTGCCGTAAAGCCGTGGATGTGACGAGCTGGAGTGCTACATGCCTTATAAAAAAGTCAGACACATGTCGCTTGAGGACGGGGGGGGGCATGGGCGTCGCCAGGATTTTTGTAGAGGGGGGCAAAGCGCATCCCCCCGAAATCCCTGTACTTAATTCCATCATATTCTCGATTTATCATTTTTCGAGGGTGGGCAGGGACATTTCACCCGCCTCCCCACCCCTTTCAATTTCAGCAATATGATTTCGCACCTCTTTTTCTTTTTCTCCCTTCCCCCCCCCTCCTTTTTGTGTGTGTGTTTTGTTCCTTTTTTTTTTGGGGGGGGGGGCCTTGTCCCCCCTCGCGACGCCCATGGAGGGGGAGGGGACCACTGATCAAGATTGAGTGGCCTATGACCGGCCAGCCACTGCCTTGTCGACAAATCTCACAATATGGCCGCACGCATTTTTTATTGATGACATTTATTATTAAATGTTGCGAAATCTTCATTAGGATAAGTACCACTTGCTATAGCGTTTGAATTATCTAAAACACTGTGAAACTGACTTATTAACAGTGTTAATATATTGTAAACGTTGTTCAATCTTTCTATATCTTACAAGTTTTCTACACACCTATCCGTATGCATTGTAGTTAAAGGTAGAGTCCATCATTTGCAGCCATCCGAAAAGTAACTGGCGTAATTATTGTTGAAAAACTAACTTGGTTGAAAGATAGTAAGGAGACTAAACTCCATGTGAAATTATTCTTTCTGGGAAGCTGTCATTTTGAAGTAATCAACGAAAGAAGGCATTTCCAACGGTGATTCTTAAGAAGCACCGTAGGAAAATTTAAATTAGTAGTTCGTTTTGTTACTCAGCGCAGCGCGCACAAGTATTCGAACGACGCACACGCGCGCGCGGTTGTTATAATTCGTCGGATCAGTGCGCGACGTCGCGTATAGTTGCAATACAAAACAATTCAAAAACATGATTCAGCAACTTTTGATTTGAAATTGAGATCTTAGAATGCTGTTTTTCTCAGAATGTACAGCTGAAGCTTAGCTGAAACTTCATCAGGTTGGTTGCTCAGTATCCTTCATTAGATTTTGAACTCTTTTGTTGCTTCAAACGAACAAAATGCACAAATTACAAATGATGGACTCTACCTTTAATGGCTCACAAATTGGTCAACCATATTATTTACAACACAATACATAATAATCATTCCTTTGTATATTAGTAGTATTCAGATGTGGGTCATTCCATGTCAGACCAACGCACTTTTTTACCTCATGTCTTCCGATTTTGATAAAAATTGCTGTGCTTGTAGGTCCTGATGAGCAATGAATGCACACCAATTTTTAGCCCGATCCGACCTACCATGTGGTCAGGGCAGAAACCACAAAAAACTGACATTTTTAGAGTAAAATACCACCCTTTTGGTATAAATATGTCAAAACTATGGCAATTTTCATCGAATATATGTGAATTTGGTATTAAAATAATGAAGATTGCATGCTCAAATCACTTCTTTTGTCAAAATTAAATTTTATGAAAAGTAGGTCACGTGACCTTTAATATGCTATTGTGACCTTTGACCCAATTTTTGTAATAATGTATCATTCCGAAAATCAACGAAATAAAAATAACTTGCTAGAGCATGTCTTCCTCTATCAGAATCTACTAAAAATCAGTTGGGGTCTTCAAAATTTACAACTTTATGACTATTTTTGTACAGTTGGTAGGTTACAAATGAGTCAATTTATAGACTTTACATAAGAAATACACCAACACAACTTACTATTCTGTTTCTTAAGTTAATAAAATTTATCTAGATTTTTATGTATAAAGTACAAAGCCAGAAAAAACAAAATTCTACCTTCTGATTCCAAAGAAACTGTCTAATCAGAATATCTGGACTCAGAAGTGTGCTAACCACTAACAGTAACCAGGCCTTCACCCAGTACAGCGGACTCACGTCCAGGTGAAATTCATCTCAAAGGAACAAAATGCCAAGTCTGTGAGAGTCATTAAAGTTCAAGAAGCACAGTGATGAATGAGTAAAGGTAACTTTGATTGTAATATTAAGTATTATCTTCAAACAAACTTGAATCCTAGACCCTGATTAGTCCATCTTTAGCAACAACTGTGTGATTTTATATAATATTGCACAGCTATATTGCACCCCAGATATTAAAAATGTACGTGTACATATGTTGTGTTATTTCCTGCTGAACGGACCAATACACTACATGTATGCACGTACATCTTCACCGCGTGTACGCATTTGATATCAAGTTTGCTTGAAGATAAATTGGTTATAAATCCCACTTGCGCTCGTGGAACACGGAATTATGTAGTGCATCGAGTGGCATATGGGTCACGGCAGCATTGCATTATTTCATATTCCAAGCGCTCGTGGGATAACTAATTATCAGTGGCACCCAGGAGGGGGGGGGGGGGGCTTGAACCCACCCCCAACATTGTCAATTTGTTTGTTTGATTTTAGGCTAGTTTTGTTGGTCCAATCTTTTACAGAAATTTGAACAAAAACCAATTTATGACCCCCCCCCCCCCCACCAAAAGCCAAATCCTGGGTGCGCCACTGCTGATAATTTACACTATGAGTCTGGTTAGACCTCATCAGCCCTCAGAATGAGAAATTCACAAACCAAGATATATTTTAGAAACTTTAGAAACAGAATAGTAAGTTGTGTTGGTGTATTTCTTATGTAAAGTCTATAAATTGACTCATTTGTAACCTACCAACTGTACAAAAATAGTCATAAAGTTGTAAATTTTAAAGACCCCAACTGATTTTTAGTAGATTCTGATAGTGGAAGACATGCTCTAGCAAGTTATTTTTATTTCGTTGATTTTCGGAATGATACATTATTACAAAAAATGGGTCAAAGGTCACGATAGCATATGAAAGGTCATGTGACCTACTTTTCACAAAATTTAATTTTGACAAAAGAAGTGCTTTGAGCATGCAATCCTCATTATTTTAATACCAAATTCACATATATTCGATGAAAATTGCCATAGTTTTGACATATTTATACCAAAAGGGTGGTATTTTACTCAAAAAATGTCAGTTTTTGTGGTTTCTGCCCTGACCACATGGTAGGTCGGATCGGGCTAAAAATTGGTGTGCATTCATTGCTCATCAGGACCTACAAGCACAGCAATTTTTATCAAAATCGGAAGACATGAGGTAAAAAAGTGCGTTGGTCTGACATGGAATGACCCATGTATAGCTTAAACAGATGTATTGTGTTAAACTATTCCGGCATGATTTCCCACCCTTAAAGGGCAATGAAATATAATGAAATATACCGGAAACGAATTTAGTTGGTCTATACACTCCGTGCACAAGTGCGCCCTCACAAGCAACAAATAAAGAGTGTTAACAATTGTAGTATAGCTACCTAGTGCAGAATGCGCTGAGCAAAGAAAAGAATGATATTAAGGTCCGGTAACCAGCCAAAGGTAACCGGTGTCTATTGTCTGTAACTGGCCCCCGTTTGGTGCTTTCTTGCCTCTAACGTGTAGTGTGCTTGGAAATGAATCTGTGTGTTTTCGCGTAAAAACGTTGTAGCCAGTTATGGTTTGAAACCAAACTTAGATAAACTGTGAATAAGTGCTGATTTTTTTTGTTTACTTCTTATCTTAAATTCATAATTTATAAATATATTGAAATAAATAATTAGATGACATATGTGAAATATTGATCTACATAGAATAACACTTTCACAATAAACACCCGCATTTTACTATACAATATTCATAAATACCTAAGACAGTTTTCCCATTCCTATTGGTCGAGAGCCAATCACGTGGCCGGTTTTACGGTCTATAAAGACCGGCTGGCAGGTCTTAAAACACTTTTCCAGCGACATATGAAAATTGGACTCCTACATGAAATCCGGTGCCTGCCAGTACCGTTTTGTTGATTAAACATTCACAATCCTCACTTAGGTATGCGCAATATTGTTTCATAGTCCTAAATTCACACTACACCGGAACAGCTGCGTTCTGTGCCGATAAGGAGGTTTTTAAGGTTACTCGCGAGAAGGCCATACCAAAGCACATAAGCTAGATGGGTGTTCCGAAAAAAAACCCAATGAAGTTAAATTGTTGAGTAAAAATGTTGGAAAATTTAAAAAAAAAATTGACTTGTTTTGTACCGAAAAGGTATTTATGAACGGGAATAAATATGTGCTTGCCCGAAATGAAACACTCTGTTTAAGGCCGGTTGGAGTATGGATGCTGATACAGCATTCACTATAATCTAAAAACCACCAGCAAACACCTTGCAATCGCACGTCGCTAGATTTCTATCACAAATTTCCTAAAGGAATTTTAAGGGTAGTTGATAAACGTAGAAGAACGGTTGCTTAATTTTTTTTATCCTTTAAACTGTCATGGTTTCCATGATTTTCAGTGAAGCAGATAGTATTTGGTCACCAAACTCAAGCGCACCAGCCCACCTCATACCGCGGTAATCTTGCCCCGTGTAGTTGACGGGATAGGAATACTCCCCATTCAGGTTAGTCGGCACGAGATCCACATTCCCGACTCCTCCAGTACAAGTCTTGAACCACCAGCCTCCCTTCAGCTGAGCGGCACAATTGGCGTTGCCATCGGCGTCATTGTCGCGATCGTAGGTTGAGAACGGCTGGCCTAAGGAAACGTCAGTGAGAGACTTTCCTAGCAAACGGATGAAAATGATACCAAATGCTGAGATTGTTGGAAAAGCAATGTGCTATTCCACTGAGCATGTGTAAGACAAAAAAGCTTCCTCTGAGTACATTCGAATGACTTCGAGCTTAAATTAACTGTACAAACGTTCAACCACCAACCATCAGTGTGTCGACTAACCGATACCAAACCGATGTAACAAAACGTGCCTTTATCAGGTAAACTCCACCTTAAAAGAAGTATCATCTTTTGAAATTTTAGGCGACGAAGAGGTGTAAAGGAATCTTAAAGGGACATCTCTGACATATTTTACAGGCATATTTCACAGGTATCTATCAAAGACCACCAAAAAAACTACATCGTGACTTTTTACTCGTTGAAAATCAAGTAGATTCCTAGCCAAAATAGAATAAGCTTTGTCAACACAGTCTGCGTGAAAAAGTATCACGCTTTATTTACAGATAAATTGACAGGAAAATAAAGAATTGGGGTGAAACAATAACACGCATTCAATGCTTGGTGATGCAATTTTTGGAAAAGGTAATGTTGACCTGCTACGTGAGGTTTCGTGCACCGTGTACTTTTTATGCATTGTATCAATTGAATTTCGTGATTTCAATTCTTTGTTTTCCCTTCAAAGACACAATGTAAACAAAGCACGACTTTGGTGTTTGCAATCATGGCGACAAAACTGGCATAATGGACAAAACTACTTTGAAATTGTTTCATAAAGGAAGCTATTTATACGACAACGAGTATCAAAAGGTAAAAGTTCGCATATTACTGTGATCTTAACAGTGTCCATTCAAAACGAATATTACATTTCTTGAGGGCTTTTTTGAATTGTATATGAACAGTAGCATATTTGTTTAGAAAGAAGACTAGTTGATACCTTTTGAGTAATGATGATCCCCTGGTTGCAATGGATCCATATGTAGTGTGTAGTTGTCACCTGTGATCTTGAACTGCGTCCAGGTTATTCTCTTTAAGCCTTTTGCTTCTTGCACTATAATCTGTAGTCTCCAAGTGCCTTCCGAGGTCAGCTGGCGGACTACCTCGTTGCCCAGCCAGAACTCCCACGTCAGATCACCGAAGCCGTCTCGGTACTCGGCCCAGCTACGGGTGAAATTGACCCACCCGCTTTTACGATTCTGAATCACCTAGAATGAGTCAGCAAAGAACGGAGTTACCAAATGAACAACTTTATCACTTTGTGTTATACAAAACGGGACAATTGTCTGTTTTGAGCGACGCCGGACCGATATTACCAACAGGCTACCCAGGGGCGGATCCAGGAATTTTTGCAAGAGGGGGAGGGTTCATCGGCGAAAAAATGTGAATCTAGACAGGTTTTTTTTCTCCGGACACCTGGCCTCCGAAAATCAATAGGTTTGGTAGTGGGGGAGGGGGGGGGGGGTTCGTACCATACTTTCATGGGGGCGCTGTTTAAATCCAACGATTATTAACACTATATCACACAATAGTGTACATATACCCCCTAGCCAAGCTGGCTCTGTCCGTATTTTGTGCAAAGGCAGAAATGTTTAACAATAAAACATTTTTTGGGTGTCAGAGCAGGGGGAGGGGTTGGCATTTTTTTGTCATAAATTTCCATGGAAAACATTGAGGGAGCTGGGGTTCCCCCCCCCCCCCCCCCTTGATCCGTGCCTGCTTCCTTGACAATTTTAACACATTGATATAAGACGATCGGTTTAATTCCGCGAAGTGCTGATTACACACAACAGGTGTTTCAAGTGCAGGTCAGTGTTATTGAAGGAGGGGGCTGGGCCAGAGGAGGGATTTGATTTAATCCTCCCCATTCGGTGACGAGTTCCGCATTTTCCTGCTTTTTGTTTAGTTACATGTTTACTTTGTTTCCCATAATGTTCGAAAATATCACTACGACGCCATCTGTGCACACCAAAGATCCATCGCCAGTGGGATAAGCGTATAAACATGTACAACTCGCATACATGCATTAGCACGATATATGTTTAAAGTTGACATGAAAAGTTCCATTTTGGGGGTTGACGAACCGCCGACTCTGAGGGAACGGGCCTGACTGCTGATTTCATGTCGGAACTGCATGTATTCGATCGTTGGTGACTTCGTCATACACGCGCATGCATCAAACACTCAAGCTGCGTTAACGTTCGGTTCCATTCGTGCTATACAGAGTGTCCCAATAAACATTGTGCATAAAGAAATCGCTGATTTTCTCAAAAGTTGGTAAGGACTAGCTAATCAAATTCGTCACCGACACCACGAAGTAACACCCATCTACATACCAGTAAAAACTAGCAATCGGAGAAAAAGGCGACTAAAGTTGAACGCCTTCTAAAACAACACTTTGCGTCAAAACGACAGAGTATTTTCAGTTGGGTTTCTCGTTGTGGACACTTGATGAATTGAATTTTGTTTTTCACCCGTTTGTGTATTAAATAAACAAGAAATAAGAGAAAAAAGATGAGTGTTAGTTCGTGAAACCGAAAAGGCTGCAAAACTGTAAATGTTCGTTTTCACGAAGTAACACTCTTCAATGTATTCAACACGAGGAAAGTGCAACCTTAGGTCAGCGCGCGCGCGCTCATACAACTTATTGCAAGAAGAGTGTTACTTCGTGAAAACGTTTTTGCTCACTTATGAGCAGAGTGCGCGCCATGCATTGCAATGGTCAATGGAACTTGAGTGTTACTTCGTGAAAACGAAAATTGTCACTTTTGCGCAAAAGTTGCCATGGATACTTAGCGCAATTATTAAAGTAAAGCTCTTGAAGCTTTGAAACTTCGTGCAATGGTAGGCCTTGATGAATAATGTTTAAAAATCCAAAAAACTGAAAATCGAAAAAAAAAATATGGTGTTACTTCGTGGTGTCGGTGACGAATTTTATAGCATTTTCAAACCTGTGGTCTTGTTTATAATTGGTTAAAAAAACCAAGAAAATCCAACGCTGCAAAGCAAAGATATCTTTGATTTGGTAAGGCTATGTATTTTTCGACCTGCACAATGCACATGTAATTTCCACACTATGCTACACCGTGTGAAGTACGCATGGTTAAATTGAGATGACGTCACACTAACGAACCGGATAGGGATGAGATAAAGCGAAGAAACTTACTATCCATTTCCCCTGCAGTAAACGGTCAAGCCGTTTGGATATTGCGGTGGGTAGATAGTGTAGACACCCCGCCCAGTCATCCCGCTGTCCACGGTGTCACTGCAGTCAGCATATCGGGGAGCAGAGGGTGTTGACGAAATCTCGACCTCATCCGTGGCTTCGGCTCCATCGCTGACTTCTAAATGATTGAGAAGCAATTCAGAAATAACTCTAAATTTAGTTTCGTATTTAAAAGGCTTTGATGTTCCCTCATAGGCAGATCGCGTTCGTATTGTTAGACGGATTCCCAACGCTCAGTGCTTTAAATATCTTTAAGCGAAACCCGAAACAAAAGGTTTTTGAAACCCCTAAGAAATTTTACAATAATTAGACCATTTATGATAGTTGATGCTTGCATCCCTGTGTATTAGAAATGTGCGCTGCACCACTTTGTAACTTCGTTCCCATTGGGATAAAGGGGCGGTGGGTGCCCAGACTTTTTTATTTTTCATAAGGGGGAGTTAATATAAAAGATCCATACTGCGGACGTCAAAACTAATAAATAAATAAATTATAACAAAATTTGAAAATGTTAAAGAAAGCTTCGCTGAATCATGGCATTTTCTTGAGAAAGGTTGTTCACAAAAAGAGGCAAGGCATGGAAGTCCCACAACGTAGGTTCAATTCATAATGAAGACAATGAATCTAATAATTAAGGTAATAAATTGCTTTAAAAAAAATTGAGCTTAATCAACTATTCGGGAGAATACAAAAATCTTAACATTTCTGAATGATAATTATTGAAATATAATAAAGTAGATAAAAATAAAGTAGATATATTAATATAATATTAATAAAGTAACTATTTTGAAAAGTGACTTCACTGATATTCACAACAAGACGCTTTTGAAGATGTGTTCACTAAGTTCTCCTTACCAGTCGAGTTTCGTGTCCCTGGGCATATTTTGCGTATCTCTCGAGGGGCTGCTTGCATCCAATGTTCACCAGGAAGCGGCTCCGGTGGCGGACCGAAGTAACAAGTCCTCAACTGACTCTCGACACCAATTAATTGTACTGCAGATTGAAATTGAATCATAATCACCATTGATGAGATTGTGTAGTGTGCAGCCGTGGCGAAATATATTTTGCTCTGATAGTTTGATTGGTTGATAGATTGATAGTGTGATGGAGCAGTCATAAACGTTAAACGTTTCAAACCAGTTTTGGGGTCTGGCGGCCCATTGATCTAATAATATGATATTTTTTTTTTCAAAGTTGAACAATAAAATTGACTGGAGCGAGGTTTGAGAATGAGACCTCCCCGATTGTCGTTACAGGCGTGGATCCAGAGGGGTGGTTTTTGGTGGTCGAACCCCCCTAGCTCTGACTCCATTTTTATTATAGAAATATATTACAAATAATGTGACCCCCCCCCCCTCCCTGCTCTGACACCCAACAAATTGATGACAATCACACCGGTAATAATAATGTCCGCCTGTGCACAACATTCGGCCTGAGAAAGCTGGGGATACGGAGGAATTTGTACACTATTCTGTAATATAGTGTTCATGATTGTCGGATTTGATCATCGCTCCCACTGAAAGTATGGTACGAGCCCCCCCCCCCCCCCCCCACCCCAACCTATTGATTTGACTGAGGCCAAGTGTCCGGAGAAAAAATCCGGATCCGCCCCATGCGTGGACGGTAATTTTGTGTTCTCTCCCCTCCCCCCTCCTTGGTAATCTGCCCCCCCCCCCGGGCAGATTTACCTTGGGTAAGTCTGTCCCCCTCCAAGTAAATCTGTCCCGCTGCCCAACGGAAAATGTGTCCCCCTGATAGTGGCCAGATTATACTTGAATCAATGGTTGGCCAACCGTACATGCATGATGTAGCCTACCAATGATCGGTATGTAGTTACACATATTTGGTCTGGTTGTTTTGCAATTAAAAGCTCACCAAACGTTTGTCCCTATTTTTGAAATCATGCGACCGACAAACAAGGATGATCTGATCACAAATCATCCAGCTTGTCCTCTATAATACAGTTGCTGACAACGTCGCGGACACTTTCGTTGGGGGCCGCCATCTTGAAATCACGTGAGCAGAGTATGTGCTTTCAACATTGGCTACTTAATGTTTGTGGCTCCGACGTATAGGATGCCCGCACACGGCTGGCGAGATTTGCGCCTTGCAAGGCGAAAAAAAATCGTGTGCCTCACGGCCTCGTGACTTGTGAGGCAGAAAACTCAGTAAAAATTGACTGCACACGGTGATCAGTGAGCTATAGGGCCTACGTGCTAATAAGCAGACTGCCATAAATGACTTTTTGCTCGGCTATAATAGATCTCGTGTAAAGCGCGGGCTTAACATAGGGCTGGATAGCTCAGTTGGTAGAGCACCGGAACGGCAATCCCGAGGTCGCCCATTCAAACCCCGCCCAGTAAAATTCTTTGTTCAATTTGGGAATGGAATAAATAAAATCAGAGAGTATTTTGTTTCACCTGCAGTGGCAAATGGGTTTTTAAACCAGACGTTCAGTACTGCCCCACCGCATTCCCTTATGGGCATTAATAATTATTCCACAACTATCAGTAGGCCGATTTTGTTAATTGGCTCATTTCAAGTGAAAAACTCTGGTTTTGCTAGAATATAAATAGGATTTATTATTATCATTATACGTGTAAAGGTACCATGAAGGAGACACGGTATCGTAATTCCTTCGAACGGTGGGAGACACCGATCATTAGGGAGACATTTTCATGTCTCCCTAATGTCACAGTCCCCCCCCCCCCCCCTTTAGAGGCGCAATTGAGTTATTTTTGTTGCTCGTGGTCTAATTAGTAAACATATCAAAATTCGTGGAAAAAGGACAAGGGAATATTGTGTTAGGGCACATTTAAGTTTGAAAAATGTTGTGCACAAGTATATGGGAATGTCTCCCAAATGTCCAATCCAGGGTAATAATAATTATTATAATTACATGTATTATTATTTATTCGACCTCAACAGCACAAAAACAAGAACAGACAAAATATATATATACATGTACAGAACAGATCCAAAAACCATAGAAATACAAAAATAACAAGACAAATACATTAAATATTTTGTTCGGGATAAAACAAGAGACCAAAAAACAAAAAAAATTCATTGATAATGAGAAGCTACGCAGCTGCTTTTGATCGATATTTTCCCCTTTCTCCTCATGGCAATATACTTGAATCCGTCGACTGTGTGTAATGACACCACAATGATTAGCGATGGTCCCTTTTTTTTACAGATGCTAATTAGCAAGGAGACACCGATGAGCAATCAAACGGAAAAATACTTGAAACAAAAAAGAAACGTATCGCACACTATCGAGTAATGAGGTTTTTGGCTCCTCCGCGTATGCAATTACTGAACTAATGTACTTGCCTATCCGCCAACGCATGATTGCTAATGCCTTAGTGTTATGCGTCTTAATAGTGGTGTTATTAGTCACAAAGATAATGGGGGAAGCGCCCTATCATCCAATGAGGTTCCCCCACATTTCGAATTTGGAACCTCCGAACGGCCGGTTCCCCCCCCCCCCGATAATTTTGGTTCTGGATCTGCCGGTGAATACACGACGATCGTTAGCACCAAAGATTTAGTACACATTACGTGACAGGTGCGGAAGGATATTTCTATCCCCCAGGATGTTTTATCCCCCGGACAGTTTCTCCTAGGAAACTGCGTACCTTCTAGAATATTCTGTCCCCTACTTTAGTTTCGTATTTAAAAGGCTTTGATGTTCCCTTAGGCAGTTGTTAGCCAAATTCCCAACGTTCAGGGTGTTTGAATATCTTTAGGCAAAACCCGAAACGAAACCGAGGTTCTAAAACTCCTAAGAACTCTAACAATAATTAGACAATAACATGTTTAATTGATTCTATCTTCCTTGTGTATGGGAAAAATTGCGCAGCACTACTTTGTTCCTTCGTTCCCATTTGGGGAAAGGGGAGGTGGGTGCTCAGGCTTTTAAATTTTTATAAGGGGGGGTTAGATAAAGATTTATACTGTGGACGTCACTAAATTATTCATATGATATTATATAAATTATAACAAAATATGATAGTTTTAAAGAAGCTTCGCTGAATCATGGTATTTTCTTGAGAAAGGTTGTTCACAGAAAGAGGCAAGGCATGAGAGTCCCATAACGTAGGTTCAATTCATAATGAAGACAATGAATCTAATAATTAAGGTAATAAATTGCATTAAAGGAGCTAAATCAACTATTCGGGAGAATACAAAATTCTCAACATTTTCGAATGATAATTATTGAAATATAATAAAGTAGATATTTTAATTAATACTAATAAAGTAGATATATATATGATATTAACAAAGTAACTATTTTGAAAAGTGACTTCACTGATATTCACAACAAGATGCTTTTGAAGCTGTGTTCACTAAGTTCTCCTTACCAGTCGAGTTTCGTGTCCCTGTGCATCGTTGGTGTAGTTCTCGAGCGGCTGCTTGCATCCAATGTTCACCAGGAAGCGGCTCCGGTGCCAGGCCGAAGTAACTGCAAGTCCTCAACTGACTCTCAGCAACAACTAATTGTACTGCAGATTGAAATTGAACCACAGTCACCATTGATGAGAGTGTGTAGTGTGCAGCCGTGGCGAAATATATTTTGCTCTGATAGTTTGATTGATAGATTGATCGTGTAATGGGGCGGTCATAAACGTTAAACGTCTCAAACCGGTTTTGGTGTCTGGCAGCCCATTGATGTAGCAAGAATATTGTTCGGTGGGGGAAGACATCGACATCTCATGGTGTGATGTGACGCTAAAAGACGCTATTTTTTTCTCTCTCTATTTAATAATATGATATTTTTGTCAAAGTTGAACAATAAAATTGACTGGAGCGAGGTTTGAGACTGAGACCTCCCGATTGTCGTTCCAGGCGTGGATCCAGAGGGGTGGTTTTTGGTGGTCGAAACACCTCCCCCAGCCCTGACTCCTTTTTTTGTATAGAAATATATTACAAATAATGTGAACACCCCCCCCCCCCCAGCTCTGACACCAAAACAAATTGATGACAATCACTCCGGTAATCATAATGTCCGCCTGTGCACAACATTCGGCCTGAAAAAGCTGGGGGTACGGAGGTATTTGTACACGATTCTGTAATACAGTGTTCATGATAATTGTCGGATTTAAACTTCGCTCCCACAGAAAGTATGGTACGAGCCACCCCCCCCCCCCACCCCCACCCCCACCTATTGATTTTACTGTCCCCCTGGTAGTGGCCAGATTAGGCTATACTTGAATCAATGGTTGGCCAACCGTATATACATGATGTAGTCTACCTGTAACCTCCCCAGATTACAGAAATACCAATAAGCTCAGTTTGAAACTCATGCTTGGATTGCTGTCACAATGTTTAATTCACAATTCACAGTGGTGTCTCAAGTAGCAAGTAATGTGTACAGTAGGATGTGGCAAACAATCAGGTTGCAAGTAGTAGTAAGCAAGTAGCAAGCAAGCAAGCAAGCAAGCAAGGTTCAACTATAAGAATAAAGAAAAACAAAAACTAATTTTGAGTCAAGTGCTCTATAAATCTATCCATGGTAAGTATAAATAACAACACTTTTCATCTTACAATGTCTTTCAATTATATAAAATGGCTCAATGACAAACAAGGAGTGACTCACATGGTTCAATTTGACTGGCTAAATAATCCAAATTTACACACAAATTTCCTTTTCAATTATGAAAATAAATCTCTAATCACAATCATAAATAAGTAAATAAATGTCAGTAAACTTACTTTTGCTGAGCTTCCAAAGGGATGTCACATAAATGGCAAATTACAGAGTGTTGTCAGAGCATGTCTGCATACATGTAGGTGTCTGCATAGGTGTGCACATGTACATGTACATACACATGTACATGTGGTCATGCATGTCTAAGGAGCTGACCACACCCAATCAAACAGCGCCCTCAGGCAACAAAAATGCAAGAGCTATTATGCATAATTATGCAAATAAGGAAAGTTTTCTAGACTTGTTTACAAGTGTCAAATTCGGTCTGTTACATTCCGGCCCCTAATGCTCTTGTAATATCAAGACATTATCTAAACATAAAAGGCAGAATTTAAACTTAAAGTGTCATTCAAAATTCATTACAAAACCCACCACCAGTTATAATCAAATTACAGTCCAACGACACTCATCAGGGTGTGTCAGTTAATAGCAAATCTGTATATGCTCATGCTGATCTCACATGTCCATCACATGAAAACTTCTGCGTTGATCGACTGACCCTCAGTCCGCGTTCAAGAAGTGTCGTTCTCTTGGACCATCATGTCTCCCTCCAAGAGACACAGTTTGTGGATGGGACGAAGATACACTCCAGTATGTGTTTTCACCTGCACAGATCTCACCTTTCCATCCCTGCCTGGGTAAGTCGTCACCACAAGTCCCATGGGCCACTGGTATCGAGGTGTGTTCTTGCTCCTAATCAACACAAGATCTCCCACACTGACATTACGCTTTGGGTTGATCCATTTCTGCCGTTCTTGCAATGATGGCAGATATTCTCTGAGCCATCGTTTCCAGAAGACGTCGGCAAGATATTGTACTTGGCGCCATCTTCGTCGGTGGACATCCTGCTCTACAAACTGTCCTGGAGGCAGATTGGGTCCAGAACGGAGGAGCAGCAGGTGATTTGGTGTCAAAGGAGCAGGATCCCGTGTGTCATCGGAGAGTCGAGTAATTGGTCTCCCGTTGACAATGGTCTCAACAATACACATCAGTGTCAGGAGTCCTTCGTCAGTAAGTTCTTGTTGACGGAGTAAACTGTTCAATACAGAACGAACTGTTCGGATCTGGCGCTCCCAAACGCCACCAAAGTGAGATGCTGCAGGCGGATTGAACACCCAACGTATCTCCTTTTGAAGTAGACAGTCATGAATTTTATCCTGATTCCATTCCTGGATCGCTTGTCGTAATTCACGGTTCCCTCCAACAAAGTTGGTACCATTATCAGACCTCACTTCAATAGGACGACCACGGCGAGATATGAAACGCTGCAATGCGTTGATGAAAGAGTCCGTGTCTAACGTGTGACAAATCTCAAGATGAACTGCTCGTGTAGACAGACATGTAAACAAACAGCCATACCGCTTCACTTGGCTTCTGGCACGCTTCACCATAAAAGGGCCAAAAATGTCAACCCCTACCAAGCTGAATGGCGCAAGCCCAGATGTTACACGATCTGCTGGTAAGTCGGACATACGCTGAGTCAAGGTAGGTGCTTTTCTCTTTCTGCATGGAATGCACTTGTGGATCACTTGCTTCACAGCTGAACGCCCCTTTACGACCCAGAACCGTTGACGAATTTCTGCAAGTGTGCGCTCTGTTCCAGAATGCCCCGTAGCTTCATGATAATGCCTCACGATTAGTGTTACAACAGGATGCCGCTTGGGTAGAATCCAGGGATGTTTGACATCATCAGCAAGATCGGAATTGCCTAGTCTTCCACCAACTTGAACAATACCCTCATCTGTCGTATACGGTGACAACTTCCGAAAGGAATGTGACTTCAGAGTAACATCATCAAAACTGATGTGCTGGACATGACGTATTATGGCTTTCTCTGAAGAAGATACTTCATCTACCGTGAGTGGCTGAGATGGCTCTGAAACTGAATTTCCTTTCCCAATCCGGTGAAGGAGAATTGCCTTTGCACGAAGTATCCAAGCGACCGCTTTCCGCAGTCGATACCAGAGGAGAAATGACCAAAGAGCTTACTCAAAGCGTCTTGCTCCTCTTTGGATGTGCAGGTACTATAGATGACAGGGTCTCTTTTCACCTCCAGAACACCTGGTGACACATGGGTATCAAAATCTGGTTGCCTTGGCCAATGAGATTCATCACAGAGTAAGAATTGTGGACCTTGCACCCAACGCTCACTTCCAATTAACTCCTGCGCTGTTAAACCTCTCGAGACATCATCAGCCGGGTTAGACATGGAGTCAACATATCTCCACTGCGATGCCTTGGAGAGCTCCAGTATCCTGGAAATGCGATTGGCCACGAAGGTCTGGTAGCGTTTGTCCTCGTTCCTGAGGTAGTGTAGCACAATCATACTGTCACTCCAGAAAACACTTTCTTGCAGAGGCAACAACAACTCTCTTCGAATCATTTCGTCTAGTTTGACGGAGACAACACCAGCAGCAAGTTCCAGACGTGGAATGGTGGTTTTCTTCAGAGGTGCTAACTTGGCCTTGGCCATTAGCAGGCAAGAGCTTACTCTTTCATCAACATCCTGTAGCCGCAGGTAAGTCACCGCGCCATATCCCCTCTCTGAGGCGTCACAGAAATGATGTAGCTGAACTGTAGTGCTGGTACCAAACCCTCGTGGTTTGATGCAACGGGGTATTGATAGACTCTTCAGCTGAGGTAAGTCTGCCAACCATCTCTCCCACTGCCTAGCAATCTCATCCGGTATTGAATCATCCCAACCAATCTTTCGTCTACAAAGCTCCTGAAACAGCATCTTGGCGGTAAGTATGAAAGGACTAGCAAAACCCAATGGATCATACACCGAGCTGACAATACTTAGCAGTCCTCGGCGTGTCATCGGCTTACTGCTCACATGAACATCAAATGTGAAGACGTCACTCTCTACATCCCAAAGAACACCCAAGGCTCGTTCGGTAGGTAAGAGCTCCCTGTCCAAATCCAGAGAAAGAACTGTCTTTGTTCTCTCAGATGGTGGAATTGTCTGCAGGACTTCACGAGAGTTGCTAATCCACTTTCGGAGTTTGAAGCCTCCAAGAACCAACATACTGCACAACTGGTCGATGAGTCTAATGGCTTCGTCACTGGTGGCAACCGACTTCAGACAATCGTCTACATAGAAATTCTTATCAACAGTCCTGACAGTTTCGGTGTCGTACTTGTGGATGTTGTCTTGCGCCGTCTGCTTTAGAGCGAAATTCGCACAACTTGGGGACCACACTCCACCAAATAAATGAGCCGTCATGCGATACACCTTCGGTGAAGAAGATATACTGTCGTTGGACCACCACAAAAACCGCAACACGTCACGGTCTGGTTTGTTGACAACTTCCTGATGGAACATACCCTCTATGTCCGCCATGAATGCAACTCGTTCCAGTCGAAAACGCAACAAGACGCCAACCAATTTATTGATGAGATCAGGACCTCGATGCACTGTGTCATTGAGTGATATTCCCTGGAACTTGGCCGCACAGTCGAATACGATCCTGAGTTTGTCTGGCTTATGCGGATGAAATACTGGGTGATGCGGCAGGTACCAAATTGCACCATCGGCTCTCTCCAGCTGCTCTGATGGCACTTCTTCAGCATAGCCCTTATCCATCAACTCCTTGATGCTCGAAGTGTACTTGTCTTTCATGACTGGATCCCTCGTCAATTTCCTTCCGAGTAGACGAAGGCGATGTTGTGCCATAGCCTTGTTATCAGGGAGACAGGGTGGCCTTGTCTTGAATGGAATGTCCACTGCATAATGTCCATTCTCTAGATGAATAGAGTGTTCCCATACAGCTATCGCCTTTCTGTCACTCACTGACATGCTGGTATCACAACCTCCAAGATCCTCCATCAGCCAAAACTTCTCAACCTGGCGTTGAAGACAGACATCAGCATCAATGAAGTGTGAAGTTACCTTGTTCCGAGGCCCCGATTTGACTGGTCCGTTAAGTGTCCATCCCAAAATGGTCTTGGTGGCGTAGGGTGTTCCAAAATTACCTTTACGAACTTCTTTAGGGGTCATCGCAGAAGGGTTATCCTGCCCAATGATTAGGAGTACGTCATTAGGGTTGACATCAGGCAGCACAATATCCCACAAATGTGGCCATGAGCTGATCTCCTCCTGTGTTACCAAACAATCAGAGTTGACACATATGTTGGGCCTCGTCATAACATTAGACATGACGAGAAGATTTTCATCATTGACGTCTGTGACTTCCAAATCGACGACAAAAGTATCAACAAGTGTGTTGTGGTCATCCAGCGTTGTGAGCTTCACAGTGTCACGCCTGCCATGAATTCCGAGTTCTCTCGCCAAAGCCTCCGCACAAAATGTCTGCGTGGACCCAGTGTCAAGAAGTGCATAGGTAGTGATAAAGTCTGTGGAACCTTTACCTCTCACCTTGACTGGCACAATAGGTAGAACCACCTTCCCAACTCCGGCCCCAGTGATGTTACATGTCACATTACCGGAAGTACCTGGACTTGTGTTGACAAATGGAGGTGCCTCTGCTGACAAAGATGTAGAAGGGTTGTTTCCCGTGTCTGTGCATGTTGAGTTTCCGCTGCGAAGTAGATGCAGAAACTTTGTATGCTTGAGGCCACAGCCGGGAACAGTACAGACAGTAGCTCTCTCACAGTCGCGTCCATAATGTCCTGGCAGAAGGCAATTTACACAAAGATGTTTGCTGCGTACGAACTTCAGACGGTCTGCAACTTTCAACGCCTTCCAACCATTACAACCAAATAAGTCGTGCCCTTGAGCACAGTACGGGCATACAGCAAAGCCTACACTAGGACCAGTAACCACTCCACCTGACTTAGGTTTCTGCTTTGGCTGAGACTGGCGACTATATGAAGTAGTCTTCTGAGATGGTGTCTGCTCCACTTGAGTATTAAAGCTGGCACGGGGCTTGCTCTTCCAACTTTCCTTTGGTGTGTTCTTGCGTGATTTGTCAGGTCGATCTCAACTCAGTAGTTTACCAAACACAGGATCATTTGCACGCTCTGCAGCTACAGACACAAACACCAACACGTCATCAATTGTGGGAAGCCTCATTTCGATGTACTTAAGATGGTGAACCCTTTTCAGCCAACCCTTTCTGAGGTCAAACGGCAACTTCTCGATGATTTTAGCCAAGCTCTGCCGATTATTCAACTCCCCAAGCTTGCCCATCGTCTGCAACGTCTCACGACAATTTCTCAACTCATCTGAAAACTCCAGTAACCCCTTGTTGTCAGAAACAGCAGGACGACCGACAATCTTGTTAATCCATGCGTCTGAGATGTCATATGCATTTCCAAATCGGCTCTGAAGCAGCTTTCTTGCCAGACGATAACCTTCACTGGGCTCCTTGACAGCACAGCACTGCATAAGCTTCCTAGCTGGACCTGTACAATACTGCATCAACCTAGCAAGCTTTGCACCATCACCAATTGTTTCTTTGTCGACTATGTTCTCGAAGGAGCGAATAAACATCCAATATTTAACAGGTTCCCCATCCAAACTCATCAGCTCGGTTTTTGGTAGCTGAAGAGTCTCGACCAAAGACTGCTGCTGTAAGTGACTGTTATTGAGCATTTGCACCAAGATGTCTCCTGACCGGTCATCGCTGGCTATGGTTGAAGGTAAGTTGGACGAACGTCGTCTAAGCTCAGGGTAAGTGTGGTAAGCAGTATTTGTAGGAGCATTCGTATCAGGCATCTGTGTTGTTTGTGTGTGACTGGACAATCGTGCTCGTGGTTTGTCATCTAAATCACGTGGAGTTGACTGCATGAAACTCATGCTTGGATTGCTGTCACAAAGTTTAATTCACAATTCACAGTGGTGTCTCAAGTAGCAAGTAATGTGTACAGTAGGGTGTGGCAAACAATCAGGTTGCAAGTAGTAGTAAGCAAGTAGCAAGCAAGCAAGCAAGGTTCAACTATAAGAATAAAGAAAAACAAAAACTAATTTTGAGTCAAGTGCTCTATAAATCTATCCATGGTAAGTATAAATAACAACACTTTTCATCTTACAATGTCTTTCAATTATATAAAATGGCTCAATGACAAACAAGGAGTGACTCACATGGTTCAATTTGACTGGCTAAATAATCCAAATTTACACACAAATTTCCTTTTCAATTATGAAAATAAATCTCTAATCACAATCATAAATAAGTAAATAAATGTCAGTAAACTTACTTTTGCTGAGCTTCCAAAGGGATGTCACATAAATGGCAAATTACAGAGTGTTGTCAGAGCATGTCTGCATACATGTAGGTGTCTGCATAGGTGTGCACATGTACATGTACATACACATGTACATGTGGTCATGCATGTCTAAGGAGCTGACCACACCCAATCAAACAGCGCCCTCAGGCAACAAAAATGCAAGAGCTATTATGCATAATTATGCAAATAAGGAAAGTTTTCTAGACTTGTTTACAAGTGTCAAATTCGGTCTGTTACACTACCAATGATCGGTATGTAGCTATAAACATCTGGTCCAGTTGTTTTGCAATTCAAAGCTTGCCAGACGTTTGTCCCTATTTTTGAAATCATGCGACCGGCAAACAAGGATGATCTGATCACAAATCAACCAGCTTGTCCTCTATAATATAGTGGCTGACAACGTCGCGGACACTTTCGGTGGGGGACGCCATCTTGAAATCACGTGAACAGAGTATGTGCTTTCAACATTGGCTATTTAATTTGTGTGGCTCAGACGTACGTAGCTCAGGATGCCCGCCCACGGCTGGCGAGATTTTCGCCTCACAAGGCGAAAACAAAATCAAACAGAACAGAGCAGGCTGCAGGTTGACCGTAAGGTCAGAGCCAAATTCTGCTAAATGCACATCCAAAATCTGTCAGATTTATTATCAAAAATCTGCCAACTTTCCCAGAATTACTCGAAACACACTATAAACACTTAAAATCACATGCAGATTGGTTAATTAAGATTCAAATTACATAAAAAACAATCAAGTCACATAAAGATGTTGTGAAATTATTGGTAAATTTTGGGCAAATGCAGATCCGGTCACGACGAAGTCCGTTTCCCAGTGAACCTCAGCACCTAGATCAGCCAACCTGTCCCATTACGCAAGAGTTTGTTTGAAAGGATTGAAACTTTTTCAAACAAAAAACGTTTTCACGAAGAGAGAAAAGTGGCCAGAAATCTTCATATTTTCGAAATTCTGTTTTTGGTCTTAATTGAATAAGTGAACAACAACGAACATCCTGGCAAACTTCTGTTTTGTCAAAATCAGTTTAAATCAACGGAATCACGCTTTTCTCTCTTCGTGAAAACGCTAAGATGTGTTTTGCCCTACCCGCAGTCACTTTTCTCTCTTCGTGAAAACGGTACGCGCTGTACGCGCAGTGGCGTAGTGCGGTAAAATGCACTTTCGCTCTTCGTGAAAACTGTACGCGCAGAACGCGCAGTGGCGTAGTTGCGGTGAAATCATTTAGCTCTAGGGTGAAATGCACTTTCGCTCTTCGTGAAAACGGTCAAGTCGATCTAGGGCAGTGTTTTCCCCTACATTCGCACATTATCCGTGTACACAACTATGGTAGATGAGCAAACGCGCGTTATTTTGTCACTTAGAAGATTTTGGTTTCCACGTAAAAACGTAATTATAATTAAATGGTCTCTTTTTAGACAAATCGTGGGTTCTCATTCGTATTCTTCGGCATTTTATAATAACAGATGCAGGTCGGTCGGCAAGATGATATGCATTATTTATTGTGTGATACTGCAGTAGCAAAAGGGAACTTTCGGGTTACTGTGTGTTGAAAATATCAGGTCACATAGACAGTTAGACTGACAGTAACTATTTTTGTTTACATTCGTAAAGTTTTTCTTTCAATTTTTTCCACCAAAGTAATTACAAGAGGACCCTTCAGCTTACTGATGGAATATGAATTTTGTCTGATACCATTAACGCAAATAGAACAAAAGGAAGTTTTTATGACAATTGATACCGTACTGGATTGCCATGTACCTTTTTTTTTAATGCACCTTTTTTGGGGGAGGCGTGCGTGAAACGATGGAAAATATGTCTTTAATTGAAGATGTTTTGAGTAATGAGTTGACCTGCTACACCGCTAAAACATGCTATTTTGATCATGTTTTTATGTCTCATAAGTGCACTCTAAATAAAAACATGTACATTATTTCAAAGTGTTTCTGTTCATCATTAAACGTCTTGTAACAATGTATACAGAAAACGATCAAGAGAAGTACTCAGAAGATAAAATTCGTCAAAATTCAGCATGCTTATGTGAAGATTTCAATTGGCAGGAGGACGTTTGGGAAGCTTGCACAAGTGCTTAGATCATTTGTTATTAATAATAATAGCTTTTATTTGCGGAATGCTTTTCAAACTGGTTTGAAACTGGCAATGTTGCTTTGATGGCCGGACCATTTTTTTATCGCGTGAGGAGCACTATAATGTTTTTTTACAGGCCAGTTTTCCATCTTGAGAGGGGCACAGTTTAAAAATGTTGCGAGCAGGGTACTTATTATGCTTTCGAGGGGCACTTTTCCATCTCGATAAGTTTTTGGGAGAGGAGCACTTTTGTTTTTGATAGCCAATTTCAAATCTCGAGAGGGGCACAATTTTATTATTGCGAGAGGGGAATTGGTGCTTTCGAGGGATAATTTTCCATTTCGAGAAGAATCACAAATCTTGAGAAGGTTCACGCGAGAGGTATTGTGTTTTTGAGGGGCAATTTTTCATTACATGAGAGGAGACAATATTTAAGCGCAGTCATGATAATGTTTTCATGACTTCGTATTGGCAGTTTTGTTTTCATCTCGAAGGGGCACATTTACGACCGCGAGAGGGGCACTTTAGTTGGCCTGGGAAAATGGGGGGGGGAGGGGCAAGTTCCCCCTTCCCCCGGTTCTGCCGCACCCAATTGGTGCCACATTTTACTTCTCCTCAATCTTACATCTCTTCTCCTTTGCCGATTGCCTGCTCATGACGAGAGGTGTTCCTTTCGTATGGAAAATTCCGTAAAAAATGAACCCGCTAAGCATCCCTTCCCTTCCCTTCCGCTCATTGAAACTACGTTCTTCAGTTCATTGCCATTCTGATATTATTAGTGGATACAACAACCATTTAATTAGAACTGGCTTGAATTTAAGCCAAATAGGCCTATATCATTATTTATCAAGGTTTCTGGACTGAACTTTAAAACGGTGGTTGTGTTTACAATTCCATAACGTGAACATTACATGAATAACTTGATTATTATTCTTGCACTAAAAGAAAGCTGATGAATTGGGTTTTCATATCCTAGATTTTAAAAGTGCTACATGCGAACTTATTTTCCTTTGTTGCACGAAAGCAAAACAAACAAACAAACAATCAAACAAAAAGGCATTAAAAAATGAAAATGGCAAATGGCAATCCAGTGCGGTCACTTGTTTGTAATGAAAACTTCATTTTGATAATTTTGCGTTCATGGTATCAGGCAAAATGAAAAGTCTATCACTAAGCTGAAGGGTCCTCTTGTAGTAACTTGATTATAAATGTGGGGAAACAAAACAAATAAATGAGAACAGTTTGAATGGGAAAAAATGTACAAATGTAAACAAAAGTTTACCCAGTCCCAACTGCCTGAAATTTTCAACACGCAGTAACCCGAAAGCACCCTATAGCTACTGCAGTAACACATAATAAATGACGTCATTTAATCTTACTGCATCTGTTATACGGCTGGATAAGAGACCAATGATTTGTCAAAAAAGACCATAATTCTTTGGGTTGCAAAATAACGCGCGTTTGCTCATCTACCTTAGTTGTGTACACGGATAATGCGCGAATGCAGAGAAAAACACTGCCCTTGATCGACTTGCCCGTTTTCACGAAGAGCGAAAGTGCATTTTATCCCAGAGCTATATGATTTTACCGCACTACGCCACTGCGCGTACTGCGCGTACCGTTTTCACGAAGAGCGAAAGTGCATTTTACTCATAGTTCTATATCTATGATTTTACCGTACAGCGCGTACCGTTTTCACGAAGAGAGAAAAGTGACTGCGGGGAGGGCAAAACACATTTTAGCGTTTTCACGAACAGACAAAAGTGTTTCTTTACTAATTAAGCAATGTTTAGTAATTCTTTTTGGAAATAATTTAATAGTTTGGAGTCATTCAACATCTGGTCTTTCGAGTGGTAATATTGGTTAATTCAAAAGAGTACCGAGTAATAGGGAAATGCGCGATGCAAAAAGAGACCAACTTCAAATGCGATTTTCTCAAAACATGCTTTTCACTTTAATAACTGGCAGACTTTTGTCTCTTTGTGAAAACGGTGACGATTAATGTACACTTTTTTGTTCAAATTTGCTGTTTTTCTGTCAAATAACCATTTTTGCAGAATTCTGCCAGAAATCTGCCACAAAAATCCATTCTGTCAAATTTTCTGTCAAACTCGATTTTTTTATTAAAATTCTGTCAAAGTTAGGCGAAAATCGGCTAAAACGGTCACCCTGGCAGGCTGCCACGAATGACTTTTTGCTCAGCTTTAATAGATCTCGTGTAAAGTGCGGGCTTAACATGGGGCTTGATAGCTCAGTTCCGGAACGGCATATCCCAAGGTCGTCCATTCAAACCCCGCCCAGTAAAATTCTTTGTTCAACTCAGGAATGGAATAAAAAAGAATTGTCCTCAAATCAGAGAGAAGTTTTGTTTCACCTGCAGTGGCACATG